GTGTACAAATAGTTCTAGTTTTTTGAGGAACTCCCATATTGCTTTCTGTAGCAGCTATGCCATTTGTTTCCTCCAACAGTGCACAAGGGTACCATCTTCTCCACATCCTCTCCAACAACTGCTATTTTCTGGGTTTTGCCTTTTATTTTTAAAGTACACATCCTAATGCGTGTGAGTTAATCTCTCATTGCAAATAATTTATATTTCTCTAATGAGCAGTGATGTTGAGTGTATTTTCATGTGCTTATTAGCCATTTGTATATCATCTCTGGAGAAATGTGTGAATCATTTGCCCATTTTTTTAAAAACCTGAGTTATTTTTGTTGTTGGGGTGTTGAATTTCTTTATACAAGTGAAGAATACTAACTTCTTATCAGATGATACGCAAATATTTTATCATATTCTATAGGCTGCCTTTTCATTAATACACATAAATTTTTCATTTTCATGTACTCCATTTTCATTATCCATTTTTGTGTTATGACATGTGCTTTTGGCGTCAGAGCCAAGAAATCACTGCCAAACAAAATGTCTTGAGTCTTCACCTCTATGATTTCCTTTGAGAATTTTATAGTTTTAGGTCTTAGGTTTAATTTTTTTTATATATATGGTGTTAATGGTCCAACTTCATTCTTTTGCATGTAGATACCAGTTTCCCCATCACCATTTGTTGATAAGTTTGTCCTTTCCCCTTTGAGTGGTCTTGGCATGCATGTTAAAAATCATTCAACCATAAAAAAAGTCAACTCAAGGGTTTATTTCTTGACTCTCTATTCCATTCCCTTTATCTACGTCTGTCTTTATGCCAGGACCACACTCTTTTAATTATTATAGTTTTAAATATGTTTTAAAATAAAACGTGTGAGATTTCCAACATTGTTCTCCTTTTTAAAGATTGTTTTTGGCTCTTCAGGCTCCCATGAGATTTCACATGAATTTTAGTGTTGGTTTTCCTAGTTCTGTAAAAAAATTGCCATTGGAATTTTGATAGAGATTGCACTGTATCTGTAGATAACATTGGGTAGTACTGACTTCCAATCCATGTACACAGGATATCTATTTTTTTTAAAAACAGCTTCATTAAGATATAATCTACATATACTACAATGCACACTCCAGTGTACAATTCAATTGTTTTCAGTATACACAGCTTTGCAACCATCATCACAATAAATAGTACATTTTCATCACTACAAAAAAAAACCAAACCCAGTACCAATTACCAGGCACTCTTTCCTCCTACCACCTACCTCAGCACTTCCCAACCACTACACCCCCACAGGCAATCACCAATTTACTCTGTCTGATTTGGACATTTCATATAAACAGAATCATACAGTATGTAGTACTTTGTGACTGGCTTCCTTTACTTAACATACGAGGTCAGACAAATAAGTTCGAGAACTCATCCTATAAGAAGTGCCACATACCTCATTGCTGAATATAACTACGGTCACCTTCGAAGTACTCCCCTTGGAAAGCTATGCACTGATGCCAGCGCCTAGTCCACCCTTCAAAGCAATTTTGGAACTCTTTTTCTGGAACAGTCATCAGAGCTGTCATCGTACTACCCTTGATGTCCTGAATGTCATCAAAATGTCTTCCTTTCAATATTTCCTTTATCTTTGGGTAAAGAAAAAAGTCATCGGAGGCTAGATCAGGTGAGTAGGGAGGGTGTTCCAATACAGTTATTTGTTTATTGGCTAAAAACTCCCTCACAGACAGTGCCCTATGAGCTGGTGCATTGTGGTGATGCAAGAGCCAAGAATTATTGGTGAAAAGTTCAGGTCGTCTAAGTTTTTTACACAGCCTTCTCAGCACTTCCAAATATTAAACTTGGTTAACTTATTTGTCCAGTTGGTACAAATTCATAATGAATAATCCCTCTGATATCAAAAAGATTAGCAACATTATTGCAACAAGTTCACGATCTTAATTGTCAGACCTCATCATGTTTTCATATTATAGTATCTATCAGGAAATTCATTTCTTTCTATTGCCAAATACTTCATTATATGATTATACCACCTTTTATCAATTCAAGTGTTACTTTTCTTACAATCAGTGAACAGAAACTGACACATCATTATCAACAAAAGCGCAATTTACATAATTTTCACTTTTGTTGTATATCACATAGGTTTTCACATATGTATAATGACGTGTATCCACCATGTTACTATCATACAGAATAGTTTCACTGCCCTAAAAATCCTCTCTGTTTTGCCTATTCATCCCTCCCTCCCCGCAACCCCTGACAATCACTGATCTTTTTACAATCTCCATAGTTTTCCATTTCCACAATGTTAAATAGTTGGAATCATCAAGTCTATAGCCTTTTCATATTGAATTCTTTCATTTAATAATATGCATTTAAGGTTGCTGCATGTCTTCTCATGGCTTAATAGCTCATTTCTTTTTAGCACTGTATAATATTCCATTGTCTAGATATGGGTCGGCAAACTTGAGGTGGAAGAGCTTCCAGGGATCGGCAAACTGCAGCTCACGAGCCACATGCTACTCTGGGTGTGTACATGTGGCACTGAAGTAAAATTGAAAATAAAAATAAAATTACCATAGTTTCATTTATATTACTTTAAAATTTCCTTATTTGTAAAAATATATTTATGGCTCTTGAATAATTTTTAAATTGTTATGAGGGACAGGATTGGCTCTTCCAGGGGTCGGCAAACTTTTGAGATGGAACATACCCAAAGAGCCACATGTGTCTCGTGAGCTGCAGTTCACTGACCCCTGGTCTAGATGGACCACAGTTTATTTATCCATTCACCTACTAAAGGACATCTTAGTTGCTTCTGAGTTTGGGCAATTATGAATGAAGCCACTATAAACATCCATGTGTAGGTTTTTGTGTGGACACAAGTTTTCAGCTCTTTTGGGTAACTACTAAGGAGGGCAATTACTAGATCGTATGGTAAGAGTGTGTTTAGTTTTGTAAGAAACTGCCAAAGTGTCTTGTAAGGTGGCTGTACCATTCTACATTCCCACCAATAATGAGAGTTCCTGTTGCTCCACATCCTCTCCAACATTTGGTATTGTCAGTATTCTGGATTGTGGCCATTCCAATAGCCAAATCTTTTGGCCATTGCAAAAGTGTTGTAGTATCTTATTTTGATTTACATTTCTCTGATGACATGATATGTGGAGCATCTTACTATTTACTTATTTGCCATCTGTATATTTTCTTTAAACTATCTGTTCAGATCTTTGGCTCATTTTTTTTTAATTGGGATCTTTGTTTTCTTATTGTTGAGTTTTTTTTGTTTTGTTTTGTTTTGTTTCCATTTTGGATCACAGTCTTTTATCAGATGTCTTTTGCAAATATATTCTCCCAGGTTGTGTCATGTTTTCTCATCCTCTTGACAGTGTCATTTGCAGAGCAAACATTTTTCATTTTAATTAAGTCCAGCTTATCAATTATTTCTTTCATGGATCATGTCTTTGGTGTTGAATCTCCCTTTAACATTTTACCAAATGGTTTTAAGCAGTCACTGATGAATATTCCCTAGATCCCTGATTTCATTAGAGTTGCAATATACAGCAGGTCCTCAAATAATGTCATTTCATTCAACACTGTTGAATATATCTGCCTTCTGTATATCTTTTTTGTTGAGATCTTTGGCCCATTTTTTTTTTTAAAGATTTTATTGGGGAATTGGGGGAGGGAAACAGCGCTGGGGAATCGGAGAAGGGGAACACACAAGTTGTTGTCCTTTTGTCCTTCAGTCTAGTTGTGGAGGACGTTGCTTCACTGGCCTATGTTGGTATTATCATTGCGTTCTTCCCAGGTGAGGCAGATCAGTCACTGGCCACTGGACGGCCGTTCACGGCAGCTCTTGGCAGCCCCCAGTGGTTGTCAGCCGCTCACGCTGGCTGCCAGCCACTCACGGTAGCTTAAGGCAGCCCACTGAAGTAGGGGCTGCAGCCTACGCTGTCACCGGTAACTCAAGGCAGCCCAGCTCCAGGTCATGCTGTTGTTCACCATCTAGCTGTAGAGGGCAGTGTCACTGGCCCTCATGTGGGATCCGAACTGGGGCCCTGCTGCTCAGAGCTGGCGTCCCAAGCCAGCTCTTAACCAATGCGCCACTCAGCCAGCCCTTGGCCCATTTTTTTAATCAGGTTATTTTGATGCTGTTGATTTTTAAGAGTTGTATATTTTGGATAATAGTCTTATTAGATGTGTCTTTCTGCCATTCTGTGGCTTGTCTTCTCATTTTCAACAGTCATTTGTACAGCAGAAAATTTTATTTTAATGAAATCCAACTTAACAAATTTTTTCCTGTATGGATTGTACTTTTGGTGTCATATCTAAAAAGTCATCAGCCAACCCATGTTCATCTAGATTTTTTCCTGTTATCTTGTTTCAAGAGTTTTGTGTTTTACATTTAGTTTTGTGATCCATTTTGAGTAATTTTTTGTGAAAAAATGTAAGGTCTGTGTCTAGGTTCTTTTTTTTTGGTATGTGGATGTCCAGTTATTGCATCACCATTTGTTGAAAAGACTGTATTTTCTCCATTGTATTACCTTTGATCCTTTATCAAAGATCAATTTACTGTATCTTTGGCAGTCTATTTCTGGGCTGTTTTGTTCCATTTATCTATTTGTCTATTCTTTCACCAATACCACACTGTCTTTTTTTTTTTTTTTTTTAAGATTTTATTGAGAAATTGGGGAAGGGAACAGTGTTGGGAAATTGGGGAAGCGGACATTATGTATTTCCAGGACCCATCAGCTCCAAGTCAAGTTGCTGTCCTTCAATCTTACCTGTGGTGGGTGCAGCTCAGCTCCAAGTCCAGTTGCCCCTTTCAATATTAGCTGTGGGGGCATGGGGGGGGGCGCAGCCCACCATCCCATGCAGGAGTTGAACCGGCAACCTTGTTGTTAAGAGCACGTGCTCTCACGAGCTGAGCCATCCGGCCGCCTGTTGGCAGCTCAGCTCGGGTTCAGCTCACTGGCCTATGTGGGAATCGAACCAGAAACCCTGTTGTTCAGAGCTCATGCTCTAACCAACTGCGCCACTCGACCAGCCCCAATACCAAACTGTCTTGATCACTGTGGTTTTACAGTAATTCTCAAAGTTGTGTAGTATCAGTCCTCTTTTCTTCTCCTTCAATATTGTATTGGCTATTTTGGGTCTTTTGTCATGCCATATAAATTTTAGATACAGTTGGTCGATATCCCAAAATGAATTCCTGGAATCTTGATTGGGATTGCAGTGAATCTATAGATCAAGTTGGGGAGAACTGACAATAGTGAGCATTCCTAAATGAAATAGCTCTTTATTTAGTTCTTTGATTTCTTTCATCAGAGTTTTAGTATTCCTCACATAGATCTTGTACTTATTTTCCTAGGTTTATACCTCAGTATTTCATTTCTGGGGTGGTAATGTAAATGGTATTGCTTTTAATGTCCTTTCCCTGTCTTTGTGGCATCTTTTAAGTACAAATTTTAAAGTTTTGATTATATTCAATTTATTTTTTTTTCTCCTGTTGCTTGTGCTATCATTGTCATCTAAGAAACCACTGTCAAATACAAGGTCATAAAGATTTTCTTCCATGTTTTCTTGCAGAAGTTCTATAGTTTTTGCTCCTATATTTAGGTGTTTGAGTCAATTTTCAAACATGGTTAAGTCAGAGTGGCCTCTAACTTACTCTTTTGCATGTGGATATTTGCTTGTGCCAAGACTACTCTTTTCCTATTGAATGGTTTAAGGCACTTCTGCCAAGTCATTTGACCACAGACACATGGGTTTATTTCCGGACTCAATTCTATTACATTGATCTGTATGTCTATCCTTAATACTAGGGCTAGTATAAGTAAGGTCAGTGTATGAATCCTTCAACTTTTTTCTTTTTCAAGATAGTTTGGTTATTCTGGGCTCCTTCTTGAATTTCCATATGAATTTCAGATCAGCGTGTCAATTTCTGCAAAGATGCCAGTTAGGATATTGATAGGGATTACACTGAATATGTAGATCGATTTGGGTTGGTTACTACTTTATGGTATGTATTTTTCCAATCTTTTCCTTTCAACCTTTTTGCTTCCTATTTTCTGATGCCATATATAAATAACTGGTTGTACTTACATATGTTTTGACTGTATTTATTCATTTTTGCTACTTCCATATTTGAGTTTAAATCTACTACCTTATTTTTGTGCTGGAGGTCCCTTTTTCCTTTTTCTTGTCTTATTCCACATTTTCCCTTTCTCCTAGTTTGTTAATCCCTCTAATTTTATTTTTAAATAGGTATTTTTCAAACTGCAACATGAAAACTTTAAAATCTAATCAATCTTCTTTCTAGACTAAAAAGTACCTTTAAATACTATTCATTTATTGTTCTCCTTACTGCACCTTTAGCACATGGAATTACTTTTATTCTATCTTTGCAATTTCCTTTGATGGAGCTCTCTCACTATATTTTACCCTCTTACTTGAAAGTATTTTTGCAAGGCACACAATTATAGGTTGATAGCAATTTTCCCTTAGTATAACATTATTATTCCATTGCTGCATTCAACTATTACTGGTGGGAAGTCAGCAGTCAGCTATCCACTCTTCCATCTTTGAAAGTAATCTGCCTTTTATCCCTGGCTCTCTGCTCTGATATTTCTCCTCAATTCAGAAAAGGTCCTAGTTATTACCTCTTAAAACAATGACTTTGCCCCATTTTCTTTCTCCCTTTCTTCTTAAACTCCAATTAAATATCTATCATACACCATGCTTACCATTCTATATTTCTCATTTCTTGCTTGCTTTTTACCTTTTTTTTCAGAAAAAAAAGCTTTATAATAAAATCCACTAGATGTTATATTATACAACTCGTTTTGAAATGTACCAAATAATAGCAAAGACTGTCTAGAATATCATTCCATACTTTTTCATATATTCTCTCTCTTTGTCACTCTGATTTCTGAATAGCTTCTTGTAAACTATCTTCTAATTCATGGATTCTCTAATTCTATCTAATCTACAATTGATCTGTTCAATTGATTGAGTTCTTAATCTGAAGTTTAACTGTTTTTACTTCCAGAAGTTCTAGGAAGGTTATCCTTTAGAATTTCTTCTTCCCTGCACATATTTTTTATTTCTTTAAACATAGTTAGCATTGTTACTCCACATTCAGTTAAACAATTCTGTCTAAATTATTTCAGGGTGTGGTTTGGCTGTTACTTTTGCTCATTCTCACATGTGGTACCTATTTCCTTTATTAACTGTGTGAGTTGCTCACTTCCCTTATAAAACACTTTGAGTAAATTCTTTGAGATCTAGTATAAAGGTGAGTGTCCTCACAAAAAAGCTACATTTGTTTCTGCTGGGTTTTGGGAAATTAACAGACCACAATCACTTCAAATTTAAGACTAGTGGTTACTTTAGTCACCCAGAAAGTGTGAATTTGGGTGCATGATTATAACTTGTAAGCCATTTTTTCCCCCTCCTTATTCTACTCAGCACAACTAGAGAAATATTCTTTATAGTCCCTTAGACGAACAGATGAGAAAGCAAGTTCTCTTTCACTGAGGGCATATTTCTTTTGGTAACAATGGGAACAGGACGTCTTTTGGAATCCCCAACTGTGGCTGTGTCCTATATTTGTATCTTTTACCCCCTATATTTTGGGAGGTTTTTGCAAAACTGAACTCAAACTCCCCAAATTCCAAAATGGTCTCCAGGAAAAAACTGGTTTCAATGCTCCCCTTCTCTATGGTTTTATTCTGATAATAACTTACCTTGCAGATCCTTCACAAATTTTAAGTACATGTTTCCACATATTAACGGGTCATTTAAGTTGTCTTCAGGAGTAAGGACATGTCAGAAACAGACGGCCTATACTCACTCTTTGGTGTAATTCAAACATAGGTTCCAGATCCATCAAAACTCCTTCACCAAGTCAGACATGATCACCAAACTACCCAAACAATTTGGCATTCTTTTCATTTATATCTAATTCTATATGTCCTGTTTCTGACACATCTGATTCTTCTCTCCTCTTGAAGCCAGTTCTTGGCTTCCACACACCACTTTCCTACACAGTTCCTAATGATCACTCCTCAGGGCTCAGACCTAGGTCTTCCCATTTCTGTATTTCCTCTGCCACCTTAAATTACCAACATCCATCTTCCTGGACCACTTTAACAGCCCCCTAATTGGATTTCTTCTACCACTCTTGTCCCCATTGAATCCATTCACTGCCATACTAACCAAAGTGATCTTTTAAAAATAAAAATTACATCATGTCATGTTGCCTTTGTAAAACCATTTCAGGTACTGCATTTGGACTTCAGATAAATTCCAAACTATTTAACATGGCCCACAAAACTTTATATGATCAGACTCTTGCCTATATATCCATAACTTTCCTCTTATATAATACTATAAATAAGCTCACTCTTTTTTTCAATTCCTCAAATATACCAAATTCTTTCCCACATGTGATCCTTGACACTTGTTCTTCTGGTTCCTTGAGTATGATTTACCTGCTCTTTGCATGGTTCAGTCTTGCTCATACTTCAGAACTCACTATATTTCTGACTTTCTGACAGGCATTTCCTGACAACACAATCCAAAAACATCTTGTTCTTCTCCTTTAGAACACTTATCATAATTAGTGATTAAGTACTTACTACGGGTTTATTTTAATGCCTGACTTACCAATTATTTATAAGAACCAGGCATGTAGAGACCCTATTGCCATCTTCCAATTCTATGCCCAGGACCCAGCACAGTGTCTGGCACATAGCAGGAGTTTAATAAACATATATTAAATGATTGATTTCTCTCCCTTTAAGCAGACGCACAGGAAAAGTAAAATTCTAATCAGTTATTACATGTGGAGTACAGAATTAGAAATAAGAGGAATAAGTTAGATGGTAGAAATGTATATAGGGATTATGTTAAATAAGATAGAAGAATACACCTGTAATGCTTACAGTTATATAGCCAAGATTACTTTCCCCTAATACTTAATTGATAAAACAGATGTTGGTTTTTAATTACTCAATTCATGGCTTTTAATTTTTGTCTATACTTTTGTTAAAGCAAATAAATAATCACCTACAAATAGCATGTTTCTCAAGGTGGTTCGAAAGTTCATTATTTGGGACTCTAGAAACATTTTCCCACAGAACCAATATTATACAAAATGGTCAAGTTACTTTGGTTAGTTCATAACTAGTTTAATTCATAACTCATTTATCCATTTAAAAAAATACGAATTGAGCACTGCCTCATGCCAAGAACTGTTTTAACACTAGAGTCACAGTAGTGTACAAATAAGACAAAAATTCCTATCTTCACAGACCTTATCTCCATGTTATAAAAACAGAAAAGAAGTACAATATACATAATGGTAGATGGTAAAGAACAAAGCATGGTAGAGAGACAGGGAATGCAGGGAGTGAAATTTTCACCTAGTATTAGTTAGATTTAGTTTCATCTCTTCCTTTCTGTTCCCAAAAGGATTTAAGTTAGATAGAAACCCAAGTATCACAAATAAAGTAACAATACTTATACAAAGAAAGACTTTCAACCAAGAAACTATGAAAACACGTCCTTTCCCACAGCATGATAGAGAACTGCTCAGGCTCTAAGTCCCTGACAAGCTACCACACCCTGAGGCAGGGTCTCCCAAAAACGCAGTGGCTAGAGAAGGTAAGAGGGTGAAATCAGTGATGGAAATTCCAGGAAGGAAAAAAAATAAAATTGAAGAGCCAAAAAGGAAAGCACACTTCTTATGGATGACATGAACCCCAATGGACAGCCAGTCCCCTCTATTCAGCCACTAGGTGGCCAGGTTTTCTTTCTACAACTGTACTACTGACCAAGATCTTTTTTGTGTTCGGCATATTATAGTTATATAACTTTCCCCTTGTTATTTTATCCTCAAAACAAGTATTCTGGGGGTTTTCTGATCAATTTAATGGCAGAAAAAGATCCCTTTTAATCCCTACCTGTACCATTAAAATTCAATCAAAAGCATGTAGATGGCCAGTAGACTACCCTAGCACTCTCATATTTTAACTTAATAACTTGCAGCTACCAGGCTGTGGGGTGAAATGCAAAAAGATTAAAGAACAATTTTTCAAACAAGGTTTCAAATACCACCCCTAGCACTATAGTAATTATTGCACAAGGCAAAACAATCAGCCAGTTTAATGCTCGACTTGTGCACAACCAGTTTCACTACCACAGAGCATGCACCATAAAGGTTAGAAGGGTGGAAGGAGGCAACAAAAGTAATCCCATTCTGAATCGCTGCTCATATAGCTGGAGTGACTGATTATAGCCAGGTAAGAAATGCACATATAAACTAAGCCTGTCTATAACTTCAATTTTTAGTCCTTTTTATGAGAAAGGACCTTCTTATTTTCACCAGTAAAAAGCAAGGGTTACACTCAGTAAGTGCTATTTTTTTGTTGTTGTTTGTAATTTAAGTATTTATTTCACTGTCATTTTAATAAAATAATTTCTCAGTTTGTGACTATCAGATTTGCTTCTGGAAATGTTTTAAATTAAATATAATTTATCTTCAAAATTTCATAAAATAAAGTCTCAAGTTTAGGAAAATATAAGCAACAACATATAATCAAGGCATAGTATCAGCAGAAAGATGTTGGCCAGAAACAATTACCTTGACGGTAGTGTGTGTGTTTTCATCTCCTTCCATCCACAGATCCTGTTCATAATAATATAAGCCATCATTGATAACCTTAGCAAGTTCAGATGTAATTTTTTCCTGAGACATGTGGTTTCCTGTTCGATCTCCTCCAGGATGTTTTCTCATATAAGGTGGTGTCTGAGTTACAATCAAAATCTTGTTTAAATCCTGGTCATCAATTTCATAATCTGAATCATTATCAGACCAATCAATAAATGTGTTTTTTTGTCCTATTTGTTCTATCTCTTCGTCAAATAAAAAATCAAGTTCTTCTTGTTCTTGCTCATCTGTAGGATACAGCTGATTTGATGCCTCTTCAGGTAGAGATGCTGATTCCTAAATGAAGAAATTGGTATTTTATATCACAAGTTTTTCTATCATTTTTAAGATGTCACATAACAATGTTACAAGTAAATAATATCAAGCTAGTATGCTCAATGGCCTAGTTTAGCAGCCAAACTGTAAAAGAAAACCAAGCCAGGATTAATTCTGATACAAAAGTGTAAAGCAACTGATTTTTAAACACTAAGTTTAACACTAAAGAAAAAAAAATTTGAGTAATAAAAAAGGATTAAAGACTACTTTAGAGTATGAATAGTACTTATGTTATCAACATGAAGACAAACCATTATTTTAAATTAATGTTTAAATGTGGAGATTTTAAATATGGAGGAAAAAATATAGCTCTTGAAATAAGTGAAATATGGTACAAATATTTGTCAGTGAGTCCAGGACACTATCCTCCCTAGTTATCCAGGTTTGCCATGACAAATATAAAAATTAATCAGGCTCTTTAGAAAATCTTGTCTCGGAAAACTGCTTTAGGCTTTTAAAATGACCCCAAGGGGGAAAAATACTCCTGTTGTTAACAATTAAGTATGCCACATTTAACTACCATTGCTAATTAAAGTTATCTTTGATCAGGGTTTCTTAAACTCAGCACTACTGACATGTGGGGCTTGATAACTGGGGTGGGTGGAGGTGTGTGTGTGTTGCGTGTGGGGGAAAGGGGTGTTCTCCGCACTGTCGGATGTTCCCTGGGCTCCCTTCACAAGATGCAGTAGCACTCTCCTAGTTGTAACAACCCAAAATATCTCCAGACATGGCCAGATGCCCACTGGGGAGGCAAAACATCAGGATCCCTCCCACATACCCTCAGTGGAGAACAACTCCTAAATTCTCCATGCTTTAGATCTTAGGATAAAGCCCTGTTCCTAATAATCTTTAATCTGATAGCCTTCTTCATCTTTCCCACATCTAGGCCCAATTATTATTAGTGACCTTTACCTTACAGAACTTACTTTTGATATTCGAATCATTTGAGTGGCACTGTTTACAAGTTTATTTTTAGTAAACTATTTACTTTAAGATAACTGCACATTCATACAGTTGTAAGAAATAAGAGCTCTCATGTATTTTTTTACTCAGCTTCCCCCAATCTTAACATCTTGCAAAACTATAGTACTATATCACAAACAAGATACTCTGATATAGCCCATCAGTCTTATTTATACTCAGATTTCCCCAGCTTTATTTGTGTGTGTGGTTTAGATCAGAGCAGTTTTAATCACATTGGAAAGTTCGCGTACCCAACAACCAAAAATACAGCAGTTCTACCACAAGGATCTCTCCTATTGTTTCCTAACCACACCCATCTCACTCCCTCCTGTGCCCCCAAGAAACCATTTCTCTTTCCCTTTCCTACTGTACATTACACCACCAAAACATATATAAACCTGATATGTATCCTTTACAAATAGTTACTTGTGTAAAAACTTTACAAATAATTAACAAGCTTACAAATAATATTACAGGGCTATAAATTCAAAATTTAGAAAGATTGTCAGCTCTAGAAAAGCTGAATTATTCTAATTTAGTCAGAAGTAAAAAGGCCAAGTGAAAATAGTCTTAAATCAGCATCCAGAAATAAATACAAAAAGTTGACACCATATAATTTATTTTCAGCTACTGATAACCCAGAAGTTCTTACTGAAGACCAATGGTTACAATTTTTAAAAGCTTTTTCAAATTTTATATATGTACCTGACCAACAGAAAAGACTGATCTTACTCTCCAACTAGAATTTATCACTTGGTTTATAACAATTTACCTTCAATTTCACTGGGGATGGATGATGTCTCTTTTTTACTTCTATCCAAGGTTCTGAGTCCAAGTCAGGCAAACTGGTAGACAAACCTCTATACATTGCTTGAAGATTACTTGTGTCAGTATTTTCCTTTGAGTTCAGTGGACTTCCAAATCTTGGAGAATTTGGGGCAGACTCTAAAATTTTAAATTAGTTCTATAGTTAAAATAATGGTTTTTATGACTTATATTAATAAAACACTTTTCCCCCCAGAGCTTGATTTTTTTCCACAAAAACCTAATAAATCAATCTCAATTATAACTTTTCCAATGATTTTCAAAACTGAAGACTTTGTAAGATGTATTTAAGTGAAACCAATGAATAACAACAATAATAATAAAAGCAATGTCACCAACCCTTACACAGACCATCTATTCATTCAAACTTTTCAAATATCAACGTGAGTCACTTGCTAATTATGACAATACATCTATTTGGGAGTCAATTCTCTATGAAATCTTACATTAAATATATTATAATGAAATTACGGAATCTCAAATGCTATTAAGCCACAGTTAGACTAAATGCCCGTCTTATTCAAAGCAAAAATTGTCCTTCATTGTTCTGATACAATTTATACTAAGGCAGGCATGACTCCTACTGTTCACATTCCCTTTGCTTAATTAACAAGGTTTACCTAAATGCAGTGTTCCCACTTAGCTTATACTGAATAAAGAGTACAATGTCCTATCATTAAAGGGTACTGCCTTGACAATAACATTTAAAACATTTCAAAACTGTTGGAATTAAAAATGCCTTTCTCCACACTATCTTTTAATCAAAGTAATGATATACTCTATAAGTAAAATCCAAATTGATTCCTTTATACATTTCTTTTCCAAAAAGTCAAAGACTATTCAAGTTATAACGCAATATGGACTTGCTTTAGACAAAAAAGTGTTTTGAAAACAAATTTATACTGTAAAATTCTAAACATCATTATTTGCTCCTCAAAGCCAATTGCTCAGAAATTTTGCAAAGTTGAATAATATTACATAAGGAAAGATGAAATAAATGAACAACAAAAATACTTTTATTTACTAAATGAAAATGTAAAGGCACATTCCAGGAGTTTGGGTTTGAAAATATTCCAAGATTTTACTTTCACCTACTCTATGCTAGAATCAGATGAATATTTTCTCCATGGAGGTATAGTTAGATCCAGGATTCAACCACCAGATTACTATGTAACTTTAAAAGAATATAGCTTCATAAGAAAAAAAAAAGCTCCGAACTATGCTGTACAATACAGCAGCCAGTACCCATATGGAGCTACTAAGCACTTGAAATGTAGTCAGTCCTGAAATGCACTCAGGATAAGTGTAAAATACACATCAGATTTCAAAGACATTGTACAAAAAAAGTAAAATAAATCCATAATTTTTATACTAATGTTATAGTAATATTTATATATATTAAAATGTTTAAAATATTAAAATTAATTTCATTTATTTTAATTTTTTAAAATTTATTTTTCAATTACCGTTGACATAGAATATTATATTAGTTTCAGGTTATTTTGTAGCTTGTAAGTATATTAAGGTTATCAGGACTACAAGTATAACAAATATATTTCTATTGAACATTGCTACTCTACAGCTTCCTTAATTAATGGTACAATCTTAATCCACAAAAGTAGCATGAGTAAAATACTAGGTTGGCTGTCAGTATTATTAAAGTTATAAACAACCCTATTCCTAATACTATGAATTATCTATGTTCATGTAGTGAATAAAGCTTTAAAAGTAGACTCAGACCACCACCCTAGAAACTGTGAAAATTAAATAAGTTACCATTATGCATAGTGCATGTATAAATGATTAGAATAACAGCTGGCACATGCTAGGGAAATCAGTTGCTACTATTTTTAACACAGAAATTTAATCTTTAAATACCTACTTAAGTTTATTACATAATCATCTCTAAATACTCTTTAAGCTCGAATGTTTCTACCATGAAGTGTTTCATTACATTTACAACACATGTGCTTATAAATTAAATGACATAAAAATACCAAAAAATTTGGGTAAGACAAGGAAATTTAGAAGCCTTGGAGTTTTTAAAGGATGTTCACCTTATAATTAAGCTATACATACACTTCATATGATTTTCTGTTTTGTTTTACAATAAAAAGAGTTCAAATTTAACTAAAACCCTAATCTTTCAAAACCAAATGAGTTTAAATAGGATTGCATTACTCCACATTAAACTTACTTATAGACCAAAAAAAAAAAAAATAGACACCTACTTTGACACAAATTCTAGTTTGTAAGAACACATAGAAAAAATTATTTTTGCTGTTTCATTAATTGAAAATTATCAACAGGACTCCCCAGAAATAATCACCACATATACAGTCAGCGATATCCACCTGGTATGACTTTTTTATCCACCCTGAACCCAGCTCTGGGTAACTATATAGATTTCTTTAAAAGGATTATACCTAAAGTGTGGTACCTTCAAGAATACTTCTGCAGATCAACTTTTCAAAGGAAATCCCACAGCTTATTTAATAATCATTAGGGATACTCCTATACACTTTTTAAAGCCCAAAACAAACAAACAAAAACATTATTAACATTGTCAGATACCTGACCTTTCAATCTTGGTGAATGAAATCCTTTCAGGATTGATAGTACAATATTATATCCATAGAACTGCAAAATTTAAATTTCAAAACTAACACCTTACCATTACCATAATCACCTTTTCTGGTGCATTAAGGTCCTCCGTTCAGCACAAAGGTCAACTCATGTTAGACAATTCAAGCTCCACAGGGGGAAAAATAGAAATTTTAATTTCTTTGATGAAAAGGACCAAATATTTAAATATTTTACCACACAAATCCCTCAAAGTATACATGAAGGGTTATGATTTTGAAATTTAATGTCTTCTCATTTGAATAAAAAGGATAAAGATAAAAAAGTTTCACTACTTTTCTCTACACATACAGATAATCAATCTCCATTTCCTATGCCTTATTTCTGTTTCAAATATTTGGTGACATACTGTTCTCTGAATTTAGGGAACTAAGGCTTTCTTACCAGATGGGATTAGTAAGGTCAGAAATTTGGGGATTCATAGGAAAAGACTTAATTTACATAATTATTCCTATGATGCAATTAATGTGAATCAGCATAACTCTAAGAACATTCTATCTGTCTACATACCTTTCATTATCCATCTAGTTTCTGATGTACAATCTAAAGAAATCTAAAGAACGTAAAATTTTTAACATTTAAATATACATTGATTTATTTCAGGCAATATGAATGTGCATGTAAATGAGTATATATTAATATTAAAAAAAACACAAAAATGTACAAAACATTGTAATTTTATTCCTGTAATTTCATTAATAACACATAAATGGCTAACGGACAGGCATCCCCAATTTGATTGACCTATCTTAGCTACCTTGTGGAAGAAGTGTTTTCTATTTTATCTAATTCACCTAATGCCTGTTCATAAGCAGGTTAAAAATGTCATCTTGGACCCTAAGTTTAAACAATAAATTAATCTAACAGATACAATCAAACATTATATAATTTTTAAAAAACCTAGAAAAAGTCACTTATATTCAAATTTTAAAACACCTGCCAAGGTTGCTTTCTAGGCGAGGCACAGTGAGCTGACAATCAAAGAAACACTAAATAAAAATATCTGTGAGACTGTCCACCAGTGCTGTATTGATGGGAGGTGTCTCATACTAGTGTATCAAAAATACATTTTAAAGAGTAAAAAAAAATACTCTTGTTCATCTCTTAAATTTCTTATTCCTTAGTGTCCACATTAATAAATCTTATATTCTATGTGAATTATGGTGACAACATGTGAGTTATACAATGTACACTAAGGGCAAATCAAATAGCAAAGGACCTAACAATCTGGGAAATGCCACTCAAGCCACTCTATTTCTGCTTTATTTATCTGACACAAGTATATAAGTCTGGAAGGAAAAGACAGAATCTTGTAGTATTTCCCGAAGGATAATTAACTTTCCCACCGTGAATAAAAGTAGCACATGCAGCCCAGGCTAATTACACACAAATGGGCATCTCCTATAAAAACAACAGCAGTCCTCTGGTCTGTCTCTCATCCTCATCACAAAGGTGTTCGTCTCCACGGCAGTGCTGGCCCAACCTCCTCCATGAGGAATGGGGAGTAGACATTCTTGCACAGAAGGAAGTCTGGTTGCTTTCATTGCTGCAGCACGATTTGTTCCAATATTTATGATATTTCAGTGAGTCACCTATTCCTCTGCATATTCCGGTCAAATGACATCCAAGAGCATCAGTAGATCATCACCCTGACTGAAAAAAGTTTAAGCACACATTTTTTCCCAAGAGGGAATGTCTTAAAAGTGATCCAGGAAAGAAAATTTAACATTAAAGCAGTTTTTGGAAATTATGAATACCAATTCTTTAATCTGTAATTATAACTTCACAAGAGAACCCCAATTAAACATTAGAATATAGGTCATCTCAGTTTTTTCAAGACAAGCTTGAAGCACATAGGTAACAAAATTAAAGAATGGCTACCCCACTCTTATATATAAGGCTTTTAGGTTATTCCAATCCTACTTGACTATCCCAAGCTTACAAGGGGAAAACTGGCACAATATATCTATAATCATTTAGTAAAATTAAGAGAAAATAAGTAGAAACTCCACACATGACAAAGTATACAAATAGTTTAAGAATAAACAGAACAGAGTTTCACTCATAAACCTTAAATCCCTATTTGATTTAAAGCTCTGTGTGGGAGACAATATGAATAGAATTTAGAGCATCAAAAGTCATTTAATTAGCTTTAATTTTCCTATTGATCTAAATAAACTTAAAAAAAGAATAGGTAAGTTGCACCAAATAGCCCACTGTTATGCTGTTTGCTAGAAGAAAAGCTGTTACCTGTTTGTGAATAAAAGGCTTGGCCTGGTATGAACTCTGGGCAATCAATCAGCTGAGAGAAGTCTGTTTGTGGCACCCTACGTGGAGGAGGGCCGGGAATTGGCCATTTTTCTGGTTCTATTTTTTTTCTCATTTTCTCATCCACAATTTCCACTTCTGTGCTATCTTTCAGTGCCTATAAATAGGAATTTTGAGTTATTAAAGAACTTTCATTAAAAATTTTTTAATTGCACCATCCTATACTTCCAATAACCTAAAAATTGTAAAAATTACCCATTTCATACCTGAGGACCCTGAAGCTCAAAAAGATAAAGTTCAACAGTCCCCACTTTATCTGTGGTTTTGCTTTCCACAGTTTCTGTTACCGGCAATCAACTGCAATCCGAAAATATTAAATGAAAAATTCCAGAAATAAACAATTATTAAATTTTAAATTGCACACACTGTTCCGAGTAGTGTGAACTCTCACACTAGCCAGCACTGTCCTATCTAGGACATAAATCATCCCTTTGTCCAGCGTGTGCACCCTGACCATTAGTCACTTGTTAGCCATCTGGGTTATTAGATAGATTGTCACGATATCACAGCGCTTGTTGCAAGTAACCCCTATTCTACTTAACAAAAAAATACAAAAGCCCCAAAGCACAAGAGTAGTGATGCTAGAGGTTCAGATATGCCAAAGAGAAGCCGGGAAGTGCTTCCTTCCAGAGTGAAAAATGACAGTACATACAATATATATATGGTTTGGTACTATCCGTAGTTTTGGACATCAACTGGGAGTCTTGGATCATATCCGCCAAAAGGGGGACTACGATAAGTTGATAAAGAGCACAGACTCAGCGTGAGTCAATACCAGAACGCAAAAAATTTATTATCTGTCCACCAATAAAAGTTTTAGCCACTGGCCTATGGTGCTTCCCAAAAATAACAGCTTTATTTTTTATTGTTTTTTTGGTTTTTTTTAGCTGAGCCATAATAACCGTGTTTTAATTTAAAGATAAAACTAGAACAAAATTTCTTCGAAATAGAAATTAAAGCCTTACTAATTTGAATTTTAAGTAAAATTCAAGGGTACTTAACCTTTTAGAAATTAAAAATACAAATATAAAAAATTCTACATAACACTGCTTTAAAATATTAAAGCTTGTTATATTTTAGTTGGAGAACATATATGTATTACCTTAAGAGTCTAACGATTGTATGCTCTTAATATTAGTATAGTTCTAACTTCTCAAGTCATATATTCCATATTCAGGCATTACTTTATAATTAATATTAAAAATTATTTAAAAACAGAATCTTTTGATGTGAATCAGGATATTCACTGAAAGAGAAAAGTCTGAAATATGAAAGTAAAGAAATAAAGGAAGAATCCTACAATGACTTGGTGATCTATTTTTCTAACATATTCTAGTTTTGTCTACTGAATATTCTAGAATCAATGGCACCCCAGTAGCAAACCGGTATACCTAGCAAACAGATCTTGCTACAACATGGATGAATTTGAAAAACTACAATTGAAAGAGCCAGGAAACTGAATTCCATTTACACAAATGTCAAGAACAGGCAAAAATCAATCTATGCTAATAGAATCAGAAAAGTGGTTTGGTTTGGGAAGCGGTGAGGTGGGGTGGGGGAGATTGACTGGAAAGGGCCACTAAGAAAATCTTTAGAGTAATAGACTATGTCTTGTTTTGAGCGGGCTTATACAGTTTTCAAAACTCAAACTGAAAACCTAAGATCTCTTCATTTCACATCATATTTATACATGACTTTTAAAACTCCTTGAAAGGTCCTATGAGTTTAAATATTTCAAAATAGTTTTGGAAAAAAGACTGCAAATAGTGTGTTGGATAGAATGTGAGGAAACTAGAACTCTCAACAGTGGTAATTTTAACTGGTTCAATACTTCGGAAAAATGTTCAGTAGTGACCACAAAACCTAAGCATACATATATTCTGTTACATATCAATTTCACAGAAAAATAAGTACATGTATCCATCCAAAAAATATGTGCAATGATGTTCACAATAGTATCACAGACTCAAACTGGAAAGAACCCAAATCAAATGTCTATCACAGAAGCATGGAAAAATACATTGTGTTATATTTATACAATGGAACACTACCCAAAAATGGAAATGAACTACTACACACCAACAATGGATAAAACTAACAGAAATGATGATCAAATATCATATATAAAATACATATAATTCTAATTATGTAAAGTTTAAAAAACAGGTGAGAGAGCTCTGAAAAGCAATTGCATTTGAGAGCAGTGGTACTGACTAGAAGGTGCCACAAGAGAGCTTCTTTGGGAATTTAAAAATGTTCTATATCTTTATCTAGTAGACACCACACAGGCAAAGTCAGCTGTAATCATATCATTTCTAATATACAGTATATAAATTATGCTTCAATTTAAAAGAAAAAGTTGGGGGCAAAAACTCTAAGTTCTTTACATATACAGCTACTGAATGTTCTTTCAATACATGCTGTTTTTTAAAAAAATAAAGCGATATAATAGTGTATGTAGTACATATGAACTATCTCAGGAGGAATACACAAAAAAGATGTAACACTGATTGCCACCAAGAATGGTTTAACTAATTTACTATTGGTAAAAGATGGAAAAGAAACTTTTCACTATATACCCTTTGAATCACAGGGTATTTATTCCCTATTTGGGGGGGGGGGACTAATTCAAGAAGAAAAAAAGAACAGAAAGTGAAACAGTCATGATTCAGGACTTAACAGGATCTTACACTGCATCATACACAAATAAAAGGAAAGCATTGAGATAAGAGTTACACATATTTTTATTAAAACAAAACTGGCAATTCTAAACTTCTAACCAATGGGTTATAGTGTATAGTCAATATTTCTGGGTATCTGAGATTTTTACAGACTAGTGATTAATTTGAGTCCTTTTCTTAATGATATTTATTACGAATCACTATTAATGCTGGACTACATAGATATATGCCCTGGAACTAACAGAAAGACTTGCATGTGCAGAACGCCTAGATATAAATAAGAGAGTAGCATAAATTCTAAGGAACCACAAGGTCAGGCAATTGGAAAATAAGGTTTCAAATCAGAGTACCAGGCAAAGTTCTAAAGACTTTACAAATATATTCATTATTCCTCTAAGTCCTCATACTCTATGGTAGCTTATTACGTGCCCTATTTAAATAATGAGAAAATTGAAGCAGGAAGACGTTAAGTAACTTCAATAGTTACAACTAATTAGCTACAGAGCCAGGATCAATTGGGTCTAACAAAAAAAGGAAGACTCAAAATAGTACTGGAACAAAAATCAAGAATGCAGTAAGCAGGATCTACCATACTATCCAGTAATTCCACTTCTGGGTATATACCCAAAGGAGATGAAAACAATATTTTGAAGACATATATGTACTCTCATGTTTACAGTGGTCAGGATGTAGAAACAACCTAAATGCTCATCAATATGGATTTTTAAAATGTGGTATATATACACAATGGATTATTATTCAGCCATGGTATCCTTCCTGCCTTTTGGTACATCATGAATGAACCTTGAGCACATTATGCTGAGATAAGACAGACATAGAAAGATAAGTACTGCATGATAATCATTAATATGTGGAAGTCAAAAAAGTCAAACTCATAAAAAACAGAGTAGAATGGTGATTACCAGGAGACGAAAGGTAGGGGAAATAATTTTGATGTTGTTTAAGGGTACAAACTTGCAACAAGTACTAAAGAAGCCATAGAGATCTAATGCACAGTATAATGACTATAGGCAACAATATCGTACTATGTGTAATGTGATAAATATTGCTACAACAACAATCATATGAAAAAATATATGTATCAAAGTAAAAAAGAAAAAAAAAAAGTAAGCTGACTAGAAGGAAATGGATTCAATAAGTTTGTCTGTGTAGACAAATTCAACCAGGGCAGATACAGGTGTCAGCTAATGTATATTTGGCTTCTTTTGATAGGTTTTTCAAGAAAGTAAAGACTTGAGCATATTCAAATGTATACAGGAAAAAGCTGACTGAAATGAAATAAAGGTAAAATAGTGATCAACAGAAGTACATCCTTGAAGACGAACAATAGCAAATTCTTATCAGAGCTTCCAGTGTGTAACAGATACTGTCATTATACATTTCATCCTCATGACAACCCTATGAAGTATGTGGTTACAATTTCCACTTTGGAGAATCTCAGGACACTATCCAAGGTCACAAACCTACAAGAATGTATATGCAGGTTTTCAAGTCCATGCTCTAAATCAGTGTACATATTGCAAAGCCTAATGATGTCTTACATTCCTAACAGTACAAGGACCCCTTTCCCACTTTAACAAATGGTAGGTGCATGATGAATGTTAAGTGAATACAGGCCTACACTCTTCTAAATCACTACGCTTATGTGTTTCTATATTTCACAATAGCATTATTTCTTACTGTATCATCAGCTACCGTATCAAAAATGTGAACCATAAGAGTAACACAAAGGTTATTTTAATATTTCTTCCCTACTGCTATTACCATATTTTGCTGTGTATAATGCACACTTTTTTGCCCAAATTTGTGAGGGAAAAATAAGGATGCGCATTATATATGGGTAGTACTAATTCCATATCTATATAAATGTTCTTAATTATTTTATTTATGCTTGAGTTAAAAGTGTAACTCTAGAAATCAATAATGATATCTGTATGCAAAATAATACCCTGGAATACGATAATCGTTTTGTTGAACTTACGCTGCCGAGCTTGCAATGATGAAGAATTCTTGGCCTTCTATTGTGTGCAAATATCAAAATTTTGTTAGAGTACATAAAATGTCTTTCTTTTTTTTTAAAAGATTTTTATTGGGGAATTGGAGGAGGGGAACATCGCTGGGGAATCGAGGGAAGGGGAACAGACAAGTTGCTTTTGTTCTTCAGTCTAGTTATGGAGGACGTTGTCCCACTGGCCCAAGCTGGCACCATCACTGCTTTCTTCCCCGGCAAGGCAGATCAGTCGCTGGCCTCTGGACGGCCGCTCACAGCGGCTGCTGGCCGCTCATGCTGGCTGCTGGCTACACACGGTAGCCCATGGCAACCCACTGCAGCATGGGCTGCAGCCTATGCTATCGCCGGCGACTCATGGAAGCCCAGCTCCAGGTTGAGCTGTTGCTCAGCATCTTAGCTGTAGAGGGCAGTGTCACTGGCCCTCACATGTGGGACCCGAACCGGGGCCCTCTGGCATTCCAAGCCAGTTCCTAACCAACGCGCCAGTTGGCTGGCCCTATAAAATTTCTTATACCTTCTATCTGCTCTTGTGTTTTCTAATTATTTGTTAAATAAAATTTCTTGTCCCATAATAAGTTAAAAAATTCTAAAATTCCTTTATAAACAAAAAACAAGTACCTAAATGTAAACAAATAAAAATTTGAATTAAAAATTTAAAACAAAAGATTTTTTTCTCTGAAAGTCTGGGCCAAAAATGTGGGTGCACATTTTACATGGGAGCGTATCATACACGGCAAAATACAGTAAGTTTTAGAAGGCAATAATCAATAATCTGAAAATTGTGCCTGAGGACTTAATAGGAATAAGAACAGACCAAAACCATACAATAATGAAATTAAAACCGGATTCCTACAGAAGTACAGGATGAACTTGAATGTCAATGAAAATGACAGCTGAGCTGGATCTTTGCTATAGCACAGTGAATGGCAGTAGTTAATAAACTCATTCTACTATGAACATAATGAATATTTTGCTCTAAAAATAAGCATTACAGAAAAAACCCTAAATTTTCTTCAAGTTACAGTATACAGAAACTAGTTAAATAGTATCTATAAACATGCAATAACAGCATTGCTTGAAGTAATTTTTTTCATAAAACAAAAATCATTAATTAAATACATATCAAAAAATAAGAAATCACTAGTTTATAGTGTTTTTGAAACCTAGACTTTCCCATAGACAGTTTTTAAAGCATGGAGCACATATGTTCAAAAAACTTGCTAAAGAAGTATGTTAAAAAAAAGGAAAAGATGAGCCAAAGATTGGAAAGAAAAATATTTGTAAAATACACATCAAAGATGTGTAGCCAGAATAAAGAACTCTTATAATTCTATTATTAAAAAACACCAAACACTGCCAAAAAATAGGCAAAATATTTGAACAGACATTTCAATAATGTATACCAACGGCAAATAAACACATGAAAGACGCTCAACATCATTAGTCATTAGGAACGCATTTTAAAATCACAATGACAAACCACTACATACCTATTATGCAAAAACACTGACAATACCCAGCGCTGACAAGGCCATGGTTCAAATGGAACCCTCATACAAAACGGTGGAATGCAAAATGGTCAAATCCACTTTGAACAATAGGTTGGCCATTTCTTATATTTAAAGACACACTTATACATTCAAGCACTCACAATCCTCAATATTTACCCAACAAAAGTAAAAACATATGTCCACACAAAGACCTTTATGCTTTGCTCATAATCTCCAAAAACTGAAAACAATCTAAACGTCTATCAACAAGAGAATGGATAAATCTGTGATACATCTGTACTGTGGAATACTAGTCAACAATAAAAACAAACTACTGATACATGCAACAACATGAGTGAATCTCAAAAGAACTATGCTAAGTGAAAGAAATCAGAAACAGAAGGCTACAAACTATAATTTATTAATATGATATTCTGGAAAAGACAAAACTTGAGAGACAAAAATCAGATCAGTGGTTCCCAGGTACCCTGTACAGGGAAGGGATTGGCCACACAGGGGCACAAGGTTGTAAGTCTGTCAAAACTCACATAACTATACAGCAAACAGGGCAAATTTGTATGTGTATGTAGGAAATAAAAACAAAAATGTTGAAAATAATTCTAGAACAGGACAGGCAGATTTTATAAAAACTTTAAGAACACAATTGGGAAGACTTATTTTAAATTAGCCTTTCTGTAGCACATGAAAAATTCTCAAAAATTTAATAAATTTGAATACATGCTATTATACAGCAACCTGAAGAAGACTAAAGGACTAAGAACAGTCAAAAAGATTCAAGTTTGAAAGATCAAGTTAAAAGTAGGTGGAAATATTATCAGTAATTTTTTAGGAGTTTCCAAGGTTAGACATTTGAGTTTTATAAAATGGAAAAAAGCCATGAGATGCAGTCTAAGCCTTAGGCAACTACAAATTCTTTTCCCATTTTTTTCCTTAAATTTTTAAATAGACTTTATTTTTTAGAGCAGTTTTAGGTTCACAGCATAAACAAAAAGTGCAGACTGCTTTGTAACTGTTTTGTAAATGAATAATTACCTCTAAAATGAGACTAAGGTTTGTAGTTAGAGCCTGAACACGGTGGAAACCAGCAATCAGGGAAATAGGCAAGAAACCTTGTTCATCCATCTTTCTCCTAAGAAAGAAGTCTCGTTCCAAATTTTCTATACTGAAGTAATATTCACTGAAAAAAGAAATAAGGAAATAAACATAAATTTCATCCATTTTTTCCAACAGGAAATAAAAATATCTATTGCTTATGATATCAATGGCTAAAAACTATTTAGATCTATTAATAACATTATACATATTTAATACAACACTGATAGGACAAATATAAGAAACAACAGCAAAATCCTGTTGAGTTAATGTCTCTTATCCATGAGTAGAAAGAAATTTAAAATAGTAATTCTCTTCCAAAAAACTAACACTAACTTCTATTTAGGTTACTTTTATCTAAGTATAAAGAATTAACCAGCATTTTACTTTAAAAGTTCAATAATTGCTTTTTTAAAATGAGTTAACAAAATGAAAGTTTTCATTACAAAGTTACTTTTACTTGCTTAATTTAAGCACTAAATAACAAAGCTAAACACATGTCAACAAATTGCCTTCCAATGTTTTCCCATCACTAAGAAAAATGGTATATTGGAAGTATTCTTTGTCAAGTTTATAAATTATAGCTTGTTCTGTTTTCTAAACTGACAGAGTACTGAAAGTGTATAATCAGCACAATGCTCAGTAAAAACTTAGTGAATACAGGGACAGAGTTGCACACATACAATTATATATTTGAACAATTCAAGATCTTCCCCCTTTCTCTGATAAAACTATAAACAACATTAAGAGCAAACAGCAAATAATTAAACGAAGAATATCTACGATACCAGAAGGTACATGGGGCGAAAAATACAGAAAAAGCTTAGACACTTTCATCTTCTCTAGGAAAGTGTACAAAGAAATGTAAACGGACAAAATGTATAATCAATAACTGCAAGTTCCAAGATACAAACATGAAGAATAAATTTAATAATGACATTTGAGAAACACCTGTTTAAATTATAGCCTCCATATTAAAAAATGAGAATAGGATTCTAGAGACAGGACAAGAGGATAAATGGAGGAAAATGTAGAATATGAAAGACATACATGACATCGATGATCATATATATGTCCTACAGGTTAATCCTACACTGTTTCCAAATTACAGAGAAAGTTTTCAAAGATGGGGGGCAAGTTATGAGAAAGCACACGAGCTCATATATGTGGGTATCAGGCTGGTGACTAAAGATACCCTTTAAGTATTTAGATCAAATTCTAACTTTGAAGAAATAATCATCTATAAATGAAAACTGGCTTTGACCTATTTTACTGGGTGAAAAAGATATCTTATTTTAGAAAGGTAAATACCTAAGTTGTTTCTTATACTCTGATATTTTTCCAACTACAAAAATGCAAAGCTCCCTTAAGTCAGTGAAATACTACTGACATTTCAGTAATTTAGTAAATCAGTTACTCTTCTTTAACACTGAAGAAAAAATCTAAGTCTTGAAAAAATAAACATTCTGGTTTTTGTTACACTTGAAATGCCCTTTTGAATACCTGATGTGGTGTGCACATAATACATATGCTTAAATTTTAAATTTTCAGACATTAAGACATTTAATTTAGTCACAAGTTAAAACTGTTCTTAGACAAAAACTTCCCTGAATCATTAATAAGACTTTTAATTTAGTACTTTTAAAAACCATGCTATCTAAATAAATTCATAAATAACCTTATTACCTATAGTGTGCGTGTGTGCATATATTAAATATTTAATATAAAAATATTATTTAATATTCTGATAGCACGAACAAAAAATTAATATATATTTTCAATTAAAATTATTTTTAAAACTCAACCATCCATAATCAGCTAAGCATCTTAGTTCAAAATACATTTTACCCTAATTTTCCACAAGTACAAGGAGGCTTTTCAGTGGCTTCTCAAAGAGAAAAATCTAAACCTTAATCAATGAGCCTATCTATGTATCAGAAACCTCAAAGACACGGTCAAAAGCAGGACTCCTCAAATCCAGATGTCCACTAATCAAAGAATAACAGTAAAGAGCCATTCTAAACCTGGTCTCTAACATCAGCCAAAAACCCTGCTGCTAAAATAATTAACAACAATACAAGGAGTCATGCCCAGTACAATGTCTGACATTTTGTTCAGTGTCCTAGGGGACATTATCATGTCCTACCTTAGAAGCTCTGGATTCTACACTGCATGATCAGAAATTTTGTCAAGACTGAAGTAGCTCTGCTCCTCCCTCACTTGTATGAGCACATTTGAGGCCAATTATCCTGACAGAGTTGCATGTCACTGCCAGGTTTCAGAAGGGACCCGACAGCAAGAGTTAACAACAACAAAAAAGACAGGACTAGTGATTTGAAGTTGATGGCCACATGCCAGGCACTTTCTGCCCTTAAAAAGGCCCTTTTATTCAGTGTTTGCGTCAACTGTAACAAAAGGAGCAAGAACAAAATAAACACGTTGCTTCACATTGTAAGCCAGTCAAAACTACCATGAAAGCATCCCAGGAGGATGCCTGCTGATGCTGGTGAAGAAATTATTTTCTAGTAATAGAGTAGGGTCCATTTTTTTCTTAAAGATAAATGTTTTAAAAATGCTATGCCCTTTCAAAAATCATCTTTTGCCTTCACACTGTAAGGATAAAAAAAAAATCAAATTTCAGAAAATCAGTTATGCAAATCACTGGAAAACATTTTTCTCACCACTATGTAAACACCATATAAATATGCAAAATATCTACATAATACTAATATAATATTAATATGCAGAGGGAGACAATAGAACAAATTAATATTCTCCTAACTTCAGTATTCAGAGAGCAACTATTGTGAAAACTAGATGACTAAGGAGTCTGAATTTAAAAAAGATTAAGTAGTACCCATTCAATATGTGTCACAAAGAAAGACAACTTAAAACTTAAAGAAGAGTTTGGATTGCGGTCAAGATGGCTGAGTAAGTAAACATTGTGCCTGCCTCCTCACATGACCACCTCAAAATTACAATTAAACTACAGAACAACCATCACTGCAATCTAACTGAACAGAAGTCCTATAACCAAGGATATATAGAAGCAGCCATCTCAAGATTAGTAGGAGGGACAGACACACAGAACATACTGGTTCCATACCCACGTGTGGCAGATAAAAACTAGGAGGGATCTTGGCTGCTGAGGTAGTCCATGAGGAGCAAGGGGTCCCACCCCCATCCAGGGTCCCCAGCCCAAGGTTCCAGTGCCCAAGAGAGAAGTCCCCACAGCTTCTGGCTGTGAAAATCAGAGGAGATTGTGGCTGAGTGAAATGCTGGGGTGATGGGAGTCCCAGGTTTTGCTCTTAAAGGGCCCGAGCACAGACTCACTTGCTCTGAACTCCACAGCACTGGGGCAGCAACTCAAAAGGCACCAGAAACATACGGGGAGGAACTGAATAGTCTGGCTTCAAGGTGAGGGCAGGAGGGGCAGCTTCCTCCCAGAGGAAGTGCTGGAAGAAGCCACTGTTCCTTTGTTGAGCTCTCCCCCAATCCAGCACATAGTGATTAACACAGATATCTGAGTCTCCATCAACCTAGCTAACACCATTTGCCCTGCCCTGGTAATTCCCTGAAACCTTGCCTCTTCCAACTTGCTGGCTGGGCATACACAACCGCTTCCAGTGGCTTTTCCATACAAATGGCCTGTCTTGGCTCATGCTGTAGATTTTCCTAGAATCTTTAAAAGGTTCACAAACCCTAGACAAGTAGCATCTGGCCTCAGCATGCCCCTACCACTTGCTAAGCAGCCCCAAGCCTGGCATTAGTGGTGGTCAGCCTCAGTTCCCAGCTTGTCCTCTTCCAGGTACTTCCAAGCCCAGCACAAATGGTAACTATCTGTAGATACAGCTCACACCAAGCAGCCTTGGGCAGGGTACAGGCAGAGGCTGACCCTGGCCTGTGCCAGATACCCTTTCAAGAGGCCCCAGAACCATCATACACAGTGGCCAGCTTCAGACCACACCAGAGAACCACCCAATGACTTCCACAAATGACATACTCAAAGGGCAGACTCAGCAAGGTACCAGAGCCCCACTAAAGTGCATCCTGCTCTGTGGGGTCAGGTCCTGCTCAATAGCTCCTCCACTGTAGTCATGGACATCTCTCAAAACCAATTATCCTGAAGGTCAACACTTCATGTGCAAACAGCAAAGGCCCAACTACAGCGAGAGCACACACAACCCACAGAAGGGAGACACATTTGGAGTACCCAGTTCAGGTGACTAGGGAGGCTGTACCACTGGGCCTCACAGGACACCTACTATATACATAAGGCCACATATACTACTAAGACCAGGCGACATAGCAGCTCTACCTAATACATAGTTAAATACAGGGAGGCAGCCAAGGTGAGGAGACAAAGAAACATGTCCCAAATGAAAGATCAGAACAAAGCTCCAGAAAAAGAACTAAATAAGATGGAGGCAGGCAATCTACCAGATGCAGAGTTCAAAACACTGGTTATATATAAGGATGTTCAATGATTTTAGGTAGGACGTCAATAGATAGGAAACAAAAATGGCGACAGAAAAAGAAAAAAACAGTCAGAAATGAAGAATACAATAACTAAAATAAAGAATACATTAGAGGGAATCAATAGATTAGATGAAGCAGAGGATCAAACCAGTCATTTGGAAGACAAGGTAGCAGAAAACACCCAATAAGACAGAACAGCAAAAACAAAAACGAATCTAAAAAATGAGGCGAGCTTAAGGGGCCTCTGGGACAACATCAAGAATACCAATATTTGCATCATACGGGTACCATAAGAAGACAGTGATCAAGAAATTGAAAACCTATTTGCAGAAATAATGATGGAAAACTTCCCTAACCTAGTGAAGCAAATTAACATACAAGCCCAGGAAAAAAAGAGAATCCCAAACAAGATGAACCCAAACAGGCCCACACCAAGGCGCACAATAATTAAAATGCCAAATGTTAAAGACAAAGAAAAAAATCTTAAAAGCAGCAAGAGAAAAGCAGTTAGTCACCTACAAGGGAGCTCCTGTAAGACTGTCAGCTGATTTCTCAATAGAAACTTGAAGGCCAGAAGAGACTGGCAGGAAATATTAAAGGTGATGAAAAGGACCCACAACCAAAATTACTCTACCGAGCAAAGCTTTCATTTAGAATCGAAGGACAGATAAAGAGCTTCCCAGACAAGAAAAAGCTAAAAGAGTTCATCATCACCAAACTAGTATTACAGAAAATGTTAGAAGGACTTCTTTAAGAAGGAGGAAAAAGATCAAAATATGAATAATAAAATAGCAGTAATACATATGTATCAAGAATTACTTAAAATGCAAATGGATTAAATGCTCCAATCAAAAGATATAGGGTGACTGAATGGATAAGAAAACAGACCCTCATATATGCTGCCTATAAGATAGTCAAATCAAATCTAAAGATACATACACTAAAAGTAAAGGGATAAAAAAAGATATTATATTTCATGAAAAAGGAAACAAACAAAAACCCGGAGTAGCAATACTTATACCAGAAAAAATAGACTTTGAAACAAAGGCTATTGGGTTGTTGGAAAAGTCACGACATATTTTGTGTATGTTTTTCAAAGGTCATTTATTTATATAAAGAACAAAGATCAATCAATGATATATTGCCCATTTTGTTTGATATATTTTGCCATCTTTCAGTGAGCTTCATAATTCCTCGTTCATAGAAGAACCTGTCTTTATTTGCGAAAAACTGAACAAGGTGCTGATTTACAGCCTCATCTGAATTGAACGTTATACCATGCAAGGAGTTTTGAAGAGAGCAAAACAAATGGAAGTCTGATGGTGCAAGGTCCAAGGTGAGTATGGTGGGTGTGGTAACACATCCCATCCAAGCTCCAATAATTTTTGACGGGTGATCAAACTTGTGTTGTGGTCTTGCGTTGTCGCGATGGAACACAACTCCTGTACAATTAACAAACTCTGGATGTTTCTGGATGATGGATTCGTCCAAACTGTCCAATTGTCAACAGTACACATTCGAATTGATTGTTTGGTTCCTTGGTAGGAGCTCGAAAACCATGACACCTTTAAAATCCCACCACACTGAGAGCATAACCTTCCTCTGATGAATGTCTGCTTTCGATGTCGATTGAGGCGAATCATCATGTTGGGACCAAGACCACCACATTATTGTAAACAATCCAATTCTCGTCACCAGTTATCAGTCGCTTCAAAAAAGGATCGTTTTCCTCATGTTTAATGAACATATAGTAGATGTTCATACATGCCATCAAATGAACTTCTTTGAGTTCATGAGGAACTCAAATATCAAGGTTGCTTACGTATCCCAGTTTCTTCAGGTGGTCGTGAATGCTTGAATGATGGGTGTTCAATGTTTCTGCAATCTCTCGTGTCGTGTAACGTGGGTTTGACTCGATCAATGCCTTTATTTTGTTGTCATCAACCTTGGTGGGCCTCCCTGACCAAGGAGCATCGTTGAGATCAAAATCACCACCATGGAATTTCGTGAACCATCGTTGGCACTGACGTTCTTGTAGAGCATTGTCACCGTAAACTTTATGCAACTTTTCACAAGCTTCATGTGTGTTCTTCCCTTCATGGAAGTAAAATGGTAAAATATGGCAAAAACGCATAGTTTGGTCTTCCATCTTCAACTTGTTGTAAAATCTCCAAAACTCAACCAAATCGCTCAAATTTTTTTCAGAATGAAGCTATAATTGTCAGCTATAATTGTCAAATGACATAGCAATAACATAGATGTGAATGACTCTAGTACTTCCAAAAATGAATTAGTGCCACCTGTTGCAAACATGCGTCATGACTTTTCTGACAACCCAATATAACAAGAGACAAAGAATGACCCAGTAATCCCACTTTTGGGTATTTATCTGAAGAAACCCAAAATACTACTTCAAAGGGACATATGCATCCATATGTTCATTGCAGCACTATTTACAATAGCCAAGGTATGGTATGGAGGCAACCTGGGTGTCCATCAATGGATAAATGGATAAAGAAGTGTACATATATACAATGGAATATTCCTCAACCATAAAAAAGAAATGAAATCTTGCCATCTGCAACAACATGGATGGACCTAGAAGGTATTGTGCTGAATGGAGTAAGTCAGACAAATGCCATGATTTCACTTATATGTGGAATCTTAAGAAAAAAAATAAACTAAAACAGAAACAAACAGAAATTGCCATGCCGTACCAGAAGCAATGTGTGACACACTACATTGTCATGATGGAGGATGATTTACAGCACACTTTAAAACATACTTTCTCTCAACTGTAGCAGCTTAAACCCGACTGATTGCACCAAACAAGTTAAAACTTGTCACACAGTTACTAAGGTTTGATGCACCTCTTCCTATATTGAAGATACCTCCCTTTCTGTTGGATGGAACTCGGCAGCAGCATTCACCATATTTTATCACAACAGAAAGGCTCCATGTCATACATCGCTTCTGATACAGCAGTTTCTATCAAATAAAAACATTATGGTGTGTCCTCATCCATATTATTCACCAGATCTGGCATATGCGACTTCTGGCTCTTCCCCAAAGTCAAAATAATCATGAAAGGTAAACATTTTGAATCGATTCCGGATATCGAGGCAGCCATGACAGTGCAACTAAAGACATTCCGAAAGAGGAGTTCTAGAACTGCTTCAGAAAGTGGCAAGAACAATGGAATAAGTGTGTTCGAAGCAAGGGGGAGTATTTTGAGGGGGATTAATGGCAATGTGTCTTTTACTGTAATAATTTTTTTATTTAAACATTCACTGTATTGATCACAACTCATAAATGTCCAATTACTATGTTGTATACCTGAAACTAATATAATATTGTAAGTCCAACTGTAATTTAAAAAAAATTTAAATAAAAAGGAAGGCATCAAAAAAGTTAAAGAAACTAAAAGTTTTTAAATCAATTGCTAGCAGTCAGAAGATACTCTTTTTTTTTCCATTTTATATTTATTTGCAAATTGTAATATAAACATTTATTTGCAAATTAAGCCAAGTTTCACTTCTTCAATTTCTAATATATATATATTGCAGTTTTATATTCTTATAATTACTTATTATGCCATGACATTATAACTAATATCCTTTAAGCAGAGAAATACCCAAAGAGTAGAGTAGTAGTCATATAAATAACATAAACCGAATATAAATTTTTAAATACTTAACATATTTTAGTAACATTTCCTAGAAAAAAAATATAATAGAAAATACTATTAAAATCCTCCAATTTTACTAATAAACAGCTTAGAAAATGTGTTAGAACATATTCACTATCAGTGATGTTAAGGTTTGCTATTGCAACAGATTTTACTATCCCATCTGCTTACTTCTAATCCACTTACATTTGGCGCTTAATATACTCTTTAAGCAATGTTTCTTCCACAGGATACACCTGTACTCCTGTTCCATCATCATAGTAATACATCATACTGGTAGTAAGTTCTGTTTGAAATGGTTCATCAGTCCTTTCTTCATGTTCTCGATAACCATATGAATAATCAAAGTTCACTTGATATGAATAAAGAAAAAGAAAAGTGATCACAGATTTAATAAAAGACAGAAAAAATAGTTACTACAAAGAAAAATCCAAAGTAAGGTATTTCAAGGAATGACACATATAAAACTATCTTTACTAGCAAATAAATTAAATTATATGAGATAGTGGGAAAAACTAACAGAGGGCTTGCACAGTTTTTTCAAAGTACATCTAATTTAACAAATAAAAAACTGTCATACATCGAAGATTTCCTCCTCTGCCTCTTCCTCTGCCCCGTCCTCGGCCTCTTCCTCGGCCTCTAAAGGAACCTCGTATGTTACCACCCTCACTTCTCACACTGGAAACTTCATCTTGATCATCTCTCTTTTCTCTATCACGCCTCCAACCTATTTAAAATAAAAATATTTGAGCTATGAATAACATATGAAAAAATGGTAACCACGCCTCCCCACTTTGTAACTCGTTGTTAGTACCCAGACATTCTTCAGATAGATGCCAACTTAATAAATCTCACAGAAGTTTGTCAAAATGTCTCCTGAGCCCATAAAAGTGCTGTATATAAAAAAGACATTCTAATAAGTAAAAATAACATACTAAAATTATAAAGAAGTCCTTTGCTAAGATTGTACTGTTAAAGAGAGAAGAAATTCCAAGATGGCTAAATTTTCACTAGATATAAAACTACAAAAACTTATTTTCATGAAGTGCTTAAGGGAAGGAAATTTCTATTTAAGTAAAAGACATTTCTTCTAAAGAAAAAAGGAAATGAAAACACAAAGCGGGAGAAAATATCTGTAACACAATATAGGATTATATCCAGAATTCATATACAACTCATACAATTTTGTATGCACAGACACACAAACGCACATATGCGCACATACATCGCAACTCAATGGCAAATGACTGAAAGACAGATAGGGCAAACTAGGACATGCAAATAAACCAATAAATATAGAAAACAGTGCTCAGCCTTAGTGGCCATGAGAAATGCGAATTAAGTTAATGAAGGAGCATTTCATCTGTCCCACTCTGATAAACATTTTAAGGTCCTGCAATATCAAATGTGGACCAAGATAGAAAATGTACAAACACTTGTATACTGCTGCTAAGAGTAAAAACAGGCACATCCACTTTCAAAAAAAAAAGGAACAATTAATGAATCTGTAGGTTACTCTATGCTGAAGACCAAAGTTTTTCAACCTTGGCGCTATCGACAGATAACACTTTAGTGTATGTGGATAACACTTTAATGGCTCTCTCGTGTACTATAGGATGTTAAGCATCATCCATGGCCTCCACCTGCTAGATGCTAGTAGCACTCACTCTCCACTCCCTGCCCACACTATGAAAGACAGCATTATCTCCAGACAATGCCAAATGTCCACTTGGGAGGAAAAAAAAACATTCTTATTGAGAATCACTGACCTAGACACTGCAATTCCTCCCGGTAATCGTCTTTTCCCAATATTTCTCCCTGAACCCATAGTAATCCTTATTTTATGTTATACTAACATAAAAGCAAAAAATTTTTTGTAATTTAAACACAATTGTCATAAAATATTTACATAATATATACTGTACAGTTCAATTCATAGGAAATTCTAGAAAGGGTAAGTCTAACCTGACAGAAAACAGACTCATGGTTGGGGGAAGTGACAGTAATGTTAGTATATTTTAATATATATAATTTATAATTCAGTAAAGTTGATTTTTTTTTTTAAGATTTTATTGGGGAATTGGGGGAGGGGAACAGCACTGGGGAATCGGGAAAGGGGAACGGATAAGTTGCTGTCATTTTGCTCTTCAGTCTAGTTGTGGAGGATGTTGCTTCACTGGCCCATGTTGTTATTATCATTGCGCGTTTCCAGGGTGAGGCAGTCGCTTGCCAGCCATTGGATGGCTGCTCACGGCAGCTCACGAAAGCTCACATCTGCTGCCGGCCAGCCCCAATGCAGCTTACGCTGTCACTGGTGACTCATGGCAGCCCAGCTCCAGGTCGAGCCGTTGTTCACCATCTTAGCTGTAGAGAACACAGTGTCACTGGCTCTCATGTGGGATCTGAACCGGGGCCCTGCTGCTCAGAGCTCACGTCCCAAGCCAACTCTCAACCAATGCACCACTTGGCCGGCCTTAAAGCTGACTTTTTTAAAAAGGACTCAGAAATGGCTCTCACTAGCCATATCTGGGATAATTTCAGCATCAAATTAAATAATCATGGTAATGAATCACAACCCATTGGAAAAAATAAGAGGCCTGAAGTCCACACTGATAATGATGGGAAGTTGTTTTTTACAGTGTAATGCCAAGTAATAAATATAGAAGGAATGACACAGTAAGAAAAATCAGTATTTGCAGTTATCATGGTAAGCCATCATGAATCAGGTAAGAATCACCAATGGAAACTAAAGCTCATGTGAAAAGCCTTATGAAAAACAAGGGATTCCCACATCTCACAGTCTCTCCCCACAAATAACATATTAATTACTACAAAGAAGAAACGAGTATCTTTACAATAAAAAATCCTGGAGTACATCAACTTAACCAAGTGCCCAAAGTTGATATCACCAATAGTAAGATAAAACAAGATCATGTGCATTTCATGTGATGCTCTACGAAGAAAACCGTTTAACTGTTGTAGTATTCCTGCCAAAAACTCATAATCAAATCTAAAAATGAGGAAACATGAAAAAACACAAAGTGAAGGATGTACCACATAACTGTCCTGTAGTCTTCAGGAAAAAAAATCACTGTGATGAAAGACAGAAGCCAAAGAACTGTTCCAGACTAATGGAAACTAAAGAGAAAAAAATACAACTAAAAGCAATATGTGATCCCAGATTAGATCCTGGAAAGGAGTGGGGGAAAACTGAAGAACATAATTGGGAAAATCTGCCTGTGGATAGTCATACTGTATTACCGTTCTTACAATATATAATCTGAAATTATTTAGGGTTAAAGGAGTGCAATGTCTGCAACTTACTCTCAAATAGTTTATACTGTACATTGTTATTAAAATAACAAGCAATAAGACAAAGTTCTTTAGTCATTTTTCTCATAGAATGTAACTTACTTCGTGTATCATTTCTCCTATTGTTATGTGATGCTTTATTTGCCTCAAGTTGACATCTTGAGCTGTTCCTGGATCCTGGACTTTCTTGACTGTCTGGTCTTAGGTCATCTAAGTGGAGTGGTACCCACTTGTGCTTATTAGCTTGAAGAAAACAAAATAAAACCATTTAATGACAATGCATAATTTTCATTAAAGCTCTGCAATTTTGAAAGGACTGTAAATTTTAATTAAATGAGAGATTTAATTTGTCCTTAAAAGGATTATTTGTATAGTATCAAAATAATTTTCTTCTCATACAGTTCAATAAACTTTTTTGGGCAAATGGCATTTCTAAAAATCAAGTGAAAAGCCAGTGATATTCATTGGAATTCTTTTGCTTTTCAGTGAAATGCTTACTCTTCATTTGAATTCTGATGGCTAAGCTATTCAAAAATAGTATGTGTAGACACTACTCCTGTCTAATAACTTCCATTACTGAAAAAGTTGGGTGGCAACTGCTGCATCATGAAATGTCCCTTCTCACGTCGTATCACCTCCATGAATTAAAATGCTTCATAGCCTTCCCATGGCACTCAAAATAAAAGGCGAATTACAAGTTTGGACCGGAATAACGTGGAACTTGCCTACCTCTCAAATAGCATCTCCTGCCACTCACTCTCCCAATGTTCATCTCGTCTCAGCTACTGACTCTCTGACAGTTTAAAGAACATTTCTGCCTAAAGGCATCTGAAGACACTTTTACTTAGGCTCAGAACACTGATGAATATATGCTTTTACAAAGCAGTTAAATCATAACCTGTCCCTAGACAAATGAAAAGTTCTGAAAAGACTATGGAAAAGGATGTAGAGACAATATTTTTTTCTTCAAAGTGTAATTTAATGAGGGAATGCTGTGAGGAAAAAAACTGACGAAAATTGTTCTCACTTTTCTATTAGAAAAATATTTTCTCAAAATTCCCTGAAAGATAAGGAGCAGTTCCAATGCAGATTTAAAAAACAATAGCTATCACACAACTTTCCAATCACATATCTACATCCATCTCTGTAAGTGGTACTTCATTCCCTTCTTACATAAAAAAAAAAAAAGTCAAATGCAAAAAGGAAAGCCTAATAGTTCAGAAATGTTACAAAAGTAGATCAGTTACCACTGCAAGTGGTTTCCTGAAGAAATCCAAATATACTCATTGGTGACTACCAGGAATCAATTGCTTAAATACAATTCTTCATTACTACAGCTTTCTTCCAAAAAACAAAACCAAAATGAAGATACAGATAAACTAATTTGTCTTTCATTGATTACCTTTGACTGAGCCTCATCTTCACTGACATTTTCACCAGGACCATCTAATTTACAATAGCCAAGACATGGAAAAAAATCAATCTAAGTGGCTACTGACAGATAAATAGATAACAAAAATATGGTGCATGTATACAGTGGAATATTATTCAGCTATGAGAAAGAAGGAAATCCTGCCATTTGCAACAACATAGATAGACCTTGAGGGCATTATATACTATAAAATAAGTCAAATAGAAAAAGACAAATACTGTATGATTTCACTTATACGTGAAATCCAAAAAAGCCAAACTCAAAGAAACAAAACAGATTTGTGGTTGCCAGAAGTGGGGGTGAGGGGAGGCAGAAATGAGTGAAGTTGGTCAAAAGGTACAAACTTACAACTATAAGACAAATAAGTTCTGGGTGTATAACATACAGCATGGTGACAACAGTTAAAAAATATTGTATTCTATATTTGAAAACTGCTGAGGGTAGATCTTAAAAGTTCTCATTACAAGAAAAAATTGTGACACTGAGATGCTGAATGTTAATTAAACACTGTGGTAATCATTTTGCAATATATACAACATACATCAAATCACTGAGTTCTATACCTTAAATTAATACAAAGTTATATGTCAATTATAATGCAATAAAACTGCGAAGGAATGAAGTTTTAGATGAACTAACCTCTCTTTCGTTGATTACTTGAGTGAGCCTCATCCTCACTGACATTTTCACCAGGACCATCTAATTTTGTTTCCCGGCTTTCTTTGTTCTCACTGTTACTTCTCTTTTCAGCTTTGTCTTCTCTTTCTTTTTTATTTTGTAGCTTCTTATTTCCTTGGTTGATGACACTCTGATACTGCAAAAAGTATTTCTGAATGAAATAATTTTTATAAACATTTTCACTAACATTCAAAAATCTGCGGTAATATACCTTAAACATTGCAAAACTAATGACAACTTCTAAAAAATAATAAATAAAAAACTGCTTTCAAGACAAGTACTTAAGAGAAAAGTCAAGCCAAATGGAGAGAAAATATTTCCTAAGTATTTTGATAAAGGACTTATATCCAAAATATATAATGAACTCTCAAAATGCAGTAACAGGAAAACAACTCAATTTTTAAAAAATGGGCTAGAGTTGAACACTTCATTAAAAAGATACACTAATGGCAAATGTATATGAAAAGGTCCTTGTTATCTTTAGTCAGAGAAATGCAAATTAAAACTAGAATGTGATACCAACACACACCTACAAGAATGACTAAAAGTAAAAGACTGATCACAGAGTGTTAATGAGGGTGTGGAATAACTAGAATTCTCATGCACTGCTGGTGGGAAAAAAAAAGTTTAGTAGTTACCACACGACCTAGCCATTCTGTTCCCAGGTATTTACTCAAGAAAAATGAAAGCACATACCTATGCAAAATTTGGTAAACATATGTTTATATAACAGTTTTATTTTTAACAGCCTAAAACTAAGTAGAACCAACGCAAATGATCAGTCGGTGAATGGACAAACAGCATTAAATCCATACAGTGGATTACTATGCAGCAATAAGAAATGACTACAGATACACATAACACAAATCTCAAAATAACGAAGGTGAGTGAAAGAAAAAGAGAGCATATACTGTGTCTCCACTTACATAAAACTGTAGAAAAAGCAAATTAACTCTAAGTGACATGAGTTGCCTGGGATGATGAGGGAATGTGACAGGGAGAATTACAAAGGAGTGTGAGGAAACTTTTGGGGTAATAGTTAAATCTGTTATCTCGATTGTGGTAAAGGTTTCACAGGTTTGCATAGGTCAAAATTATCAAATTATACACTTTATATATTTGCAGTTTCTTATATGTCTCTTAAACACCAATTAAGCTATTTAAATTAATGTATATTATCTACAACTATACATTGATGATATTGCACAAATTACAAATAGCAAAGTGTAAACACAGTGTCAAATGAAAACATGTAACCAGATAACCACATATGTATGCTAATCCTCTAAAAAGCCCTGTAGCAGAATCTCAGAACCATCTTTTACGGCTTCTTTCATAGTTAAAATTAAATTTAAAATTCATTCACTGAATGTTTCTTGATATGATATGTATGCATATATATATATGCGTGTGTATGTACTGGGGGTGCCAAAAAATGTACACATATATATTGTAGTCATCTTTTGTTATCGGTGTATACTGATATTACAATTTTAATACAGTTTTCTCCTTTCTTAAAATGTATACATTTTTTTGGCACCCTGTTTATAGTTAGCACTTCAACACACTGAAATGATTATAAATCAGAAAAACAGCATAAATTCTGAAACATAAAATGGGCTTCAATTAGATACATTACATTAAAAATTAATCTTTTTATTTGTAGGTATTACATGCAATTGCATGGTACCCACCCCTTACAAATATAATTTTACCTCCTAAGAATACAATCAGATGAAGGTAGTGTGATAAATGAAATCAAGTATCTAAAAAATGGATAAAACTGTAAAAAGGGTAGCTGCTGAGTTTTCAGCACCTCTTTATTAATGTAATTCTCTAATTTTGAAGTAAAATAAATTTTGTGCATTAAAATTTTCCCTACATATATAAAAAGCCTTAAACAGTACTCACTCCAGTGTTCACTAATTCACTTGGTGTTGGCCAATTCGCCATATCGCTGAAATCACTAGCCTAAGAAGTAATAAATAAGTGTTATGTCTGCAAATTAGAAATTTTAAATAGAAGAAATTTTCTAAAGGTGAAAGCAATTTTAAAAATTCACCTACATTCAATTATATGCAGGCATTTGCCAAGTTAAAAGTTTCTCCAAACAACAGAACATTGAAATTAGAATGCTTTGGTTTTATAGTCCAACTTCTAGCACTATTTAATGACACTGATTGAATTGATATAAACAGGGAAACGGAGGCATATGGGGATTTGCATGAAGGCTACAATTCTCTAGTATATTAACTTTAAACTAACATTAATGATACAACTATAAGAAAAATACACAATAATCTAAGAACATAATGATTTTCAAAATGAATACACAGTAGTTAAGAACTACTTCATGTAAAGACATACCTTGTCTGATTTATTTGTCTTGAGCTTTCCTGCTTTTATAATTTTGGGGGAACTGAGCTCTTAAAAAAAAAAAAAAGAAATTGTTGTTACAACCAATTCATTCAATATTATTTAATAAAATCACTATTATAATACCAATTTTAGTAAGTCAGTGTAGTCATCATTCCCAACAAAACCTCATTTTCTAAGACTCAAATTCCTAACAAGAAATCAACTACATTTCAAAGGTAGATTCAAATTGGTTTTCAGTGTTCAAATCAAGAAGTGGTAAATATTAACGGTTTACTTACACTGATAGAGCAATCCTTTCACTAACAGAACATGAAAAATTAGAAATGTTTCAATACAGTAAAGTTAGAAATACAATTCCCTAGAGTCAATGGAATTGTAATAGATATATATGATGTCAGAGGGGCAATAGATTGGGGGACGGGGTTATCACTTTGTAAGGGGTGAAATGTCTAACTAGTACATTGTTTTATACACCTGAAACTAATAATAATAAAAATTTAAAAAAAAAGAAACACAATTCCCAATTGGATACATTTTTCTATACAATACACACTCATTAAGGAGCATTAAAAAAACAAGTCAGAAATCTTCAAATTATCTGTCCTTGAAAACAAACAATTTTCGCAAGCATAATAAGTTGTAACTAGGTTCAAGCTATAAAAAATAGGTCTCTGTAAAAGTTTGTATAAGACTATCATGGAATCACCACTTGTCCATATCTTAAATAACAGTGGTTGACAAATAAATAAAAAAAATGTTATGCTGTCTCCAAATGAAGCTTTATACTGTCTTTTAGTTTTGGTCATCACCTAACAAAATAACCAGATGGTGTCTCATCTAACTAAATAAGAACTAAAATAAATATTAAAAAGTAGAATAAACTTGTGATCTACGTCTACAGAAAACACAATAATTCAGCAAAATATGAATCCCAAAAATCGTGGTAACGGCCAATTCATAGAATAAAATAAAACAACATATGAGTTAAAATCCAGAATCAAATTTAAATAAAATACAAATAGTGAGTACACAGGTATTTGTTTTATTTATTCTCCTTTATACTTAGGTGCACATATATGTGTATGTGCATACATGTTTAAATGTGTATAAGAATAAAACATTTCATTAAGATAAATTAGATACAGTAGTAAAAATACAGAGACAAATAGGACAAAAAAATGGGGACAGGAAAAAAACCTAAAGAATAATATTTGCCTGAACGTTACCTAGAATTTGACTTTAGTATGTTCTGTGAATACTATGTATATTTTATGAAAGTTATACAGTATACATACAACTGTATAACTTTTCTCTCAACAAAATGCAAAGTATTTTTTTGTGTGTCCCTAAATATTGTTAAGCCAAGTAAATTAAGTGCCTAGTAGTTATAAAATACATCCTTACACAAACTATTTGATATAATGAAAAGTAATAAGGGGTAGGCCACACAAGCAAGTTCTATACAGCTTTATTACAAATCAATTAAGGTCAGAAATTAAGGATAAAAATTATTCTGACCATATAAAAATAAAAGTAAATTTTTTAACTTCAATACTAAATGACACAATTAAGAAACTAGAGGAAAAAACCTGAATGTGACAGTTAATAATCTTTCTATTGATTTAAAAATTAATATGGCTTCATACTCTAGCCAGACAATGATTATAACCTCTAGCTAGAAGTCAGTAAAGAAGTTGGGGAGAAAGAATGTTGAACTTTATTTCTTCACATGTTTAAAAATAAAAGGAAATTCTGATTTCAGTCGATTATTTTGGACTCAAATTTTTGGATTTTGTTAAAATTTTAATTCCTAAGCAAATATAATGTGAAAAAATTTACATTTAATTCTGTGTTATCTATAATGCTGACATTTTATTAATAGACCATCTTATATGTATACACTGTAACTGGGATGTTTACATATATTTTATCCTTGCCATAATTTAATTTCACCACAGAGGATTTTGACAAACTATTTTGGCCAATGTGGTTAGATACTCTGAGATAGGAAACAGTGATTTGTTACCATTGGTTACTAAATGGCCATTCCAGTTAATTTACTTTTCTAAGAGGAAGACTTTCCGGAAAACATTCCTGTTCCAAAGTCTAATTCCTCCCACGGAAACAATAAGTTTCCTGATTAATGAGTTTAGGAAAATTGAACTCGCAAAGCCAGCACTTTTTCTTTTTGTTTGGGAGCTAGCTGTCCACAAAAAACAAGCATTCTGATCTGCTCTTTTGTGCTGTCAACTTCACAGGGGCCGGCTCCTCAGCAGAGATAGAAGGGGGACCTGCAGTTGTGCAATGCCAACTGTGTGACCATGTTTGTCTAATTCCAAGTTCAACATGAGGAAGACCACCTCATCAATTCAGTCTTTTTCCATTAAAAGGATGATAATGAGCTTTTAAAAGTACATAAACAAACAAACAAACAAACAAATAAATAAATAAATCTGAGTGAAAGATTAACAGGTGATTCAAAAAAGAAATACAAATGGTCAAACATGAAATGGTGCTCAATTGCACTAATAAAGAAATGCCAACTAGGGCAGGCTGAGTGGCTCAGCTGGTTAAGAGCTCGTTCAAGAGTTTGAGCTCTGAGCAACAGCGGTTCAATTCCTGGCCCAAGCTGAGCAGTCGCTGAGCAGCAACTGAACTGCCAACAGGGAGCAGGATGGCTCATCTTAAAAAAAAAAAAAAAAATGCAAACTAAAACAACAAAACATTTTTCACCTATCATACTGACAAAAAAAGGGAATGCCCAGTGTTGGCCAACCTATAAAGAAATGAACATTTCTCTCATGTGTAGTAGTATAATCTTTCAAGGATAATCTATCATTTTGAATGCATATATTTTTTAATAAAGCAATTTCATTCCTGGGAAATGATCTGGGAATCAAGACAAGGTACAAAGATGTCTATATAAGATGCTCACTGCAGCTTTGCTGGTAACTATATTTAAATAACATCTACATTCATTAATATGGGAAAGTTACATTATGGCACATCTATACAAAATAATGTAAAACTTTTAGAAATAAGATAACTCTGTATTTTATTTCTAAATAATTATATGGAATGTTATATGGGAATGTTATATGGAAAGAAGTCCACCAGGTTTTAAATAGAACTTTATATTCACATAGAAAACTGGAAAAACAAGCCTAACAAAGAAATTTTTTCACTTTCCCATGTTTTAACTAACATGGAGGAAATTGCCCTGCATGTCATTAGAGAAAACCTAAGACTAAAAAAACAACCCAACCTATAAAACTTTTAAACATTAATTAAAAAATATATCTTTTCAGAGGAAACCTAACAAACAAATTTAAGCTACTAGAGACTCCAAGTATATATAAATATACATAAACAAGTGTGTGATCTTCATATCTCAATTTATCTAACATCACTGGTGAGACAATATACCAGCACAACTTTTTAGAGTAATATTCCAAAATCTTTAAAACACTGTTCTTTAACCCTAAGAATCTATAAGGAAATAATCTAAATAGATCAGGAAAACAATTCATTTTAAGAACTTGAATAATAAAAACAACTGCAATATAACGAGCAGTTTTACTCACTTTAATTTTCATGACCATAATAACCTTTAACAAAGTCTTAAATAATAAAGTGCATTGACAGTTAGCAATCAGTATTTCACATGATTTTATTATACTTGAGAGAAATCTATGTTTAAGAGAAAAATGCTATGTTGCTACAGTAAATAAGTGCTTAAAAAATTAATTCTCATACTCTAAAAGTGGGAGCATCCATTTGTGCAATCACTTAGAGAGCAGCTTCCCAACTATAACAAATACCCATGACCCAACAATTCCACTTATCATCTATCCTAGAGAAAGTCAGACATACAAGAGGTATGTATAAAAATCTTTGAAACAACCAAGATGCTGATCAACAGGTAAATGGCAAATTAACTATATCAGGTATATTGATCAGCTAATTCTCAGCAAATTTTTAAAGGGGTTTAGATTAAAATGGACCAACCTTATCATAAGAAAAAACTAAAAGTAACTATGTATATATGGGGAAAGATGTTAACTAGATTCACTGTGGTGATCATTTTGAAATATATACAAATATTGAATCACTAGGCTGTATACCTAAAATAAATGTTACGTCAATTATACATCACTAAAAATAATTTTTTTAAATCCTCTCTCATGGTAACAAAAAAAAGATCAACCAACACTGTAAATGAAAAATAGAGGATGCTGAGAAAGACAAATATCATGATCTCACTTATATGTGGAATCTAAACAGAATAAACGAGCAAACAAAACAGAAATAGACTCTGAGAACAAATTGATGTTTGCTAGATGTGAGGGGGTGAGAGGATAAGCGAGAAAGGTGAAGGGGTTAGGAAGTACAAATTGGTAGTCATAAGACTGTCATGGGGATGTGAAATACAGTATGGGGAATATTATCAATACTGTTGTAGACTATGTACGGTGTCAGATGGGTACTGCAATTATCAGGGGATCACTTGATGGATTATATAAATGCCTAGCCACTGTGCTGCACACCTGAAACTAATAAAATAATACTGAATGTCAAATATATATAGTCACAGGGTGTGAGGACAACATAGAGAATATAGTCAATGGTACTGTAATAGCTATGGAGGATGTTAGATGGGTAGTAGAGTTGGTGGGGTTATCACTTTGTTGGGGTATAAATGTCTACATCAATTTGTTGTTTAGCATACCCAAAACTAATAAAAAAACTAGGTATTTAAAAAATGGAGGATGGTATGTTCTAAACGCCTATGCAAAACACTATACGTATTTGTAAATAATGGCACAGATCTAAAAGGATATTCAGGAAACTGGTATAATGATTCTCTCTTTTTTTTTGAAGGGGACATTAAAAGTTCAGTTTTTACAAGGAGAAAATATTTAGGCATCATTTATATAACTTACTTAAAATGTTACTAGGGTAATAACAGCTGTAGAGCAGACACTGGGGGAAAGAGAGTTGATGGGGTCAGAGATAGACTAAAGATAAAAAAGGTGGGGAAAAAATCAGTATTTTTATATACCATGTTTTTGTGAGTAAAATAATTAAAATTATATTAGGAAGCTAATTTTAATATGCAAAATGTAACCATGGCTACAGGTAAGCGATTAATAATCCCATATTGTGATTTTAATAAAGGTCCCTGAAAATAAATAAAACTACTTTAAACAAGATTAAGACAGATTGAGGAACAATTCTTTCTGGACTCCTGACAATTAAAAACTGCAGTAAAACTATTTTAGGCCTCTTGGGTGGGCCAGGCGTTGACTAAGAGAGGTGGTGATCTGGATTACCAAAAACATCCATGCACAAGCCAGAACCATCTCAAAAGCATCCCATAAGGGCTGAAAAAGCAAGAATACCTCACCTGCAGTTCGTAACAGAAAACTCATGATTACTAATCCTGAAATACTCCTCTACATTTCCTATAATATTTCTGTGTTAATAAACTCTCTGGAAAAGTTTGGTGGATGGAATCCTTTACCTAATTAAGAAACTGACAGTAAATCCAGGTTTGGCTAGGGTAGACATGGTTTAAGTCTATTATTCCAGCATAATTAATACTCTTCTCTTTCCCTCAAGAATATGCTAGTCTATAGGATAAATTATACAGGCCTCCTACTAACAGACAATTGTATTAATTTAACATTGCCTAGTTTTCAGCTACTGTGGACTCTAAAGATCCTGTGCTCCTATTTCATTATCCCTGAAGTTGCAAATCCGCTTAAGAAAATAAGAAGCCAAGACACCCAGTTACAGATGGCACTCTGATATTAAGAATTGGAAAAGATGAAGATATGCACTTCATTCATTTACAAGGCCCAGAAATCTTGCCAGAAGTCAACTAGATAGTTATTAACAACGTTTGGACTAGAACCACAAGTCTCTCGGAACAATGCATTTCTACAGCATAATCCCTTATTTATATTACCAAAGTTATTCGTCAACTGCAAATAGAAGTTGTGGTAGACAGTGTAGAGTCAACAGAGAAGAGAGACTGTAAGTTGTTATACAACTCCAAGTCTGAAGAATAGTACACCTGCGGGAACAGAATGGATGCCAAGAACAGAAGGGTTGCCTACAGAGAGACATCAGCAAAAGTGAAATTCCCATGAACCACACCATCAATACAGCCAGCATCAGCTTGTTCTTAATTTCCAACAAAGATTAAGATCCTTAATAAAAACACCTGTAAGTTATATTAAACTGTTAAATATTTTTCACAAGGTCATTTCCAATTAAAATAGCTTTACCTTAGTGATGTAAAAACCTGTCAAATTGATTTTACAATCTATAAAGAGTTCAGTCTTTTGGGTAGTTTTTTAATATAATGTATAATTGTGTAGGTCTCAAAGTAGAGAGGTGAGACAGCCATTAAGATTCAGCAAGGATTTCTTTCTCTTCTCTAAATTTTATGGAGATTTTGCTTTAAGATTTTTGTTCTCTTCAGTTAGGAACAGCAGTAAACAAACATCTTTGCAGCTGGAAGCGAATGGTTGCAACATTAAATTCTGAACAAATTTTTCAGTTTTTTCTGCCAAATGTCACAATTCATCAAGAATAATGAGTACTGCTGTGCAAATGCTAAAGAAATCAATGAACTTCACACTTATCTCACTCTATTGGCGTTCCTCTGAAGACATGTAATATACCTGCAATAATATATTGCATGTTAATAATAATCACCTTACATTTCTACTATATCCTTTATCTCAATTACCTTCACAACCGTGTAAATAGGCTCAAATTTTCCCTATCCCACTGTTAACCTTTAATTTTAAGAAAAGTCAAGAATCACAAGTAAACAGCTGTAATGCTTATATGAAAAAGTTCAATTAATTTACTACAACTTCATTTTAGAAAGACAGACTAGGAGGATGGATTTTGGACAGGACTCCACCACCCTCACAGAAATGTCGGCATTTTGAATGAACCTGCTTTTCTTTACACACACACACACACACACACACACACACACACACACACACACACACCCAAGAAAAGAGAAAAACTAGGAGATGTTACTTTTTGTCTTCTTTGTATTACTTCTATGCAAACTTAAAAACAACAACAACAACGCAGTTGGCTACAACCAAAAGCAAGCACCGAGGGCTACACTGAATCGGTCGGCATTCAAAGGCAGTGACATAGCCTAACGTCTAAGGGAAGGAGGGCTAACTGAACGTGAGAAGACTACCTACCCTTCACCTACAGTGCGACCCCTCTCATGTCAAATCTTTTCCACCACAACCATAACTCAAAGCATTTTAGTCGCAAGTACAATCAAGTCTCATTTTTAATCAACTTAGGTGTTTCGAAAACACTGAAATTTTCACCTTATCAATTATTTCACAATAAAAACAAAACAAAACACAACCGCGCTTCCACATAAATAAACTCCCTTGCTTCACCTCTGCTGAAAAGGCCCTTCTCCAGGGTGAACTGCAATGGCTAGCTCCCCAAAGTTGGCTTTCCCAAGGCACTCACCACGTGCGGGCAACACACAATCCAGGCGGCGCCCGCCCCGCCACAGAGCTACGTTCACCCACCCGTCCAGCAGCCGAGGTCCCACCTCTTCCTGCCGCTCCCGTCCCCGATGCCCATTTATGTAAACTGGCAGCGTGAATGACACCTTGGAACAAAATACCTCTGACTGACAGGGCAAGGAGGCCTGCCCCTCCCCCCGCCCCGCCGCGGCAGCGGCGCCACGCGCGTCTCCCGCGCACACACACCCCGGGTGCCCGCCACAGGGCCGCAGACCTGAGTCAGGTGGGGGCGGCAGCAGCCCCGACGAGGCGGGCGACACGTGCTGAGGCGGCTTTCTGGTCCAGGGGTTCTCCTTAGGTGGCAGCGGCGGCTTTTCCTCAGGGCCGGCCGCCGCCGCCGCCTCCTCCGGGGCGTCCTCGGCGGGCGGGTCCCGCGGCGGCTGCGGCTCCCCGCCGAAGGGGCCCGCTGGCCCGCGCGCCTTGTGCGCCAGGTGCAGCGCAAGAGGCCTCACGGGCACCGCCGCCTGGGGTACGCTGTGTCCCAGGACTGGCGCGGGCGACGGCTCTCCCCGAGCCCCCGCGCTGGTGGCGGTCGCCGCCCGCTCGTCCCTCGCTGCCTCTTTGCCCTCCCGTGCGGGCGGGGGCAGCTGCCCGGCCTGCCGGCTCGCCGCGGGCAACAGCGTCTCTTCCGTTGCCGTCGCGGGCGGCTCATCCAGAGAGTGAGCCGCGGGCACCGGGGCGCGAGCCGACATCGTCCCCTTGCCCCAGCCGCCACAGCCGGGCGGAGCCCGGGGCCAGGAAGCCCGGCTGCCCGTCTCTCCGCCCGGGCACCGACTGGCTCCGGCCTGGGGCAGGGAGCCCGAGAGCCCGGCCGCCGTCGCCACCGCCGCCCGCGTTGTGCAGCGCCCGGAGTGCCGCCCCTCCCCGCGTCGAACGGAGCGCTAACCGCCCGCCAGCGCTGCCCGCCTCCGCGACACACGCCGCGAGCCTTCACCTGGCGCGGGCAGCGAGCGAGGCGCAGCGAGCCAGGCCCGAGGACCTCTAGCGGAGTCCGACGGGCGCGCGCCCCTAGAGCCGGTAAGCGCTCGCGGAGGCGTGGAGGGGAGGGCCGCGGGGGCGGGGCCTCCGGGAGGAGCGTGACGTGGCCGCTCCTCGGCTTCTGCCCCCGCCGGGCCGCCGCCCGCGGTCGCTGGCTGCCGAGCCCGCCCGGGTGCCTCCCGGCCTGAGGGCCGACCCCGCCCCAGCGGCCCGCCGAGGGGGAAGGAGGGCGAGCTGGGAGGTCCCCGGCTCTCGGGCTGCGGCAGCCCCGGCGCGGGGGCGGGGCGCGCAGCGGGCCTCTGTGACTCGCGCGGGCCCGCGCCGCGCTCGGGCGACGGCAGGCGACGGCCGGAGCGGGCTGCGCGTGGGCGCCCGGGGAGGCCGCTGCGCCCCGGTCGCTTAGGCGAAGCGGGGTCATCTCGCAGGCCACCCTGGGTGGCTCCACAGTAACCTCCCAGTGTCTGTGGCCTCGCCCGGTGAAAAAGATCCTCCCCCTGGCGCTTTGGAGCCCCGCGGTCACCTGTAATATTGAGCCACGTCCAAAATGAAAAAGGTGTAATGTGTAGGTAACGGTCTTTTAAACTTTTGCCCAGGCAGTTAGGTTGGTGCTCTTCCCCACCCCTGTTCTTACCCACGAACTGAAATATTTTTTGAAGTGCTCTTCTGTAAAAAAGTTAATATTTCATCAGCTTTTTTTTTTCTTTAAACTACCTGTTTCTTTAATGTGTAGAGAGAAACACTTGTTTACAAATTAACCATGTCCCAAGTATTTTTTCCTGTAATGGATATGCTACAAAGGTACAAATAGGTTTTGATTTTTAAAATCCGGTAAGAGCTTTCTACTTGGCACTCAGATTCAACGTGATTAAATTGGTTTCATGTGCATGTGTTTATGAGCTAATAAAGTTTATGTTCAGGTGCAAGGTTGCTGAAAATGGGTTGGGCTTTACGACTGTCAAACTAGGCAGACAGTTTGTACAGGACTCCAATCCCATGAGTCTCACCTCAATCACATTAAACTCAAGATTAATATATTCTTATGTACTCAAAAGTTGTACTAGGCACAAATTATTTAATTTCATAAGGCTAGCAACCTATTCATACACTACAACAGCTATAAACAATAAGGCCTTTCTTGTATTCCTATTTACTAGTTTCCAAGTTACCTGACTCTAAGCAACCTAAACGCATTTCCAGTTAAACGGGGTATACTTCCACTTATATTCCCAGGGAGGCACCATCTTTCCTAGCTCTTTCACTGGTGAAGTTTTGGGTTTCAACTAGCTGCTCTTCCTGTTGTAATCAGCCTTTGGAGTCCTGCTAGGTAATTCTGACTCTTACAAATGCCTATCAACAAATAAGACTCAGAGACACATTCTATTCTACCAGCTATGTAACTATACAGTGCTTAACAATGGCGATGTGTTCTGAGAAATGTGTTGTTTGGCAATTTCTTTCTTGTGCAAATACCATGGAGTGTATTTGCTTACTTACTGTTGGTGTATGGTAAAGCCCACTACACACCTAGGATATATACTATATTTAGCCTATTGCTTCTAAGCTACAAGGCTGTATAGCATGTTACTATACAAAACAACACAGATTAAGCACAAGACAAAATGATGCAATCAAGAAACGAGATTAACATAAGAGGTGTAAGGCTGCTGCTGGAGTAACGGCATACTGTTTTACAGAAAACTTATCAGTAGAAAGCACACTAAAATAATGATTAAAAATATAGTAAATATATAAATGAGTAACAGTCATTTATTACCAAGTATTATGTATTGCACGTAATTGTGCTATACTTTTACAGGACTGGCAGCACAGTAGGTTTACACCAGCATCACCACAAAATACATGAGTAATGTGTTGCGCTGTGACATTATGATGGTTATGACTTCACTGGGTGACAGAAATCTTTCAGTTCCATTATAATCTTGTGGGACCACTTTCTGATATGTGGTCAGTCATTGACAGAAACATTGTTACACAGTACAAGACTGTACATGTGGATTAAAGACTGATTCAGTTGATAAAAAGATTATGTGGAATAGTTCTCCAAAGTTAGATTTATATGGGCTACCTAACGATGGCTGGTGGTGGCAAAAAACAAAATTCGGCCAAGTAAATTTGAAGATCTAATGGGCTTTATTGAGCAAGTCAAGAATTGGGCAGCATCCCACCTAACAACCAGAAGGGCTCTCTGAAGAGTTGTACAAAATGAAAGGTTTTTATGGGAAGAAGGGCGTGAGGCAAGGGGGAAAAAATGGTCCAAGACATCTTTTTTTGGTGGGGGAGGGGAGGAAGGATGATTTTTATCATGCAGATTGTCTCTTTCTCTTTCATTGGTGTTGACCAGAAAATTCTGGACTGGTTAAGATTATGTTTCTGTAGAGTTTGAAATTGCAATTAGATCAGATAGTGAATCTAGGTTTAGTATCATGGGAATTTAGCACAAGTGACACCATTTTGGGCCTGTGCTTTTCTTTGTAATACCGGTTTTGTTTGTTGCTTTTTTTACTAAAGTGAAAAATCATAAAAGTACTTTATTGAAGGAACACAAGAGGACTTTTCTTGGAAATAGGTTGTGCTTGCAGAGAGAACAATTGGAGGGTAAATGTGTGTTCAAAAGGTCTCTAAAGTTAAACTCAACAGTAGGCATTTCGGATTGTCACTGTAGTTTGGTGCCTATAATGTCAGTGAAGGGCGTTGGCTGTCTTAAATACATATTAATAACTTCTGTCTCTACGTAACTGCTTCTTGGAAACAACTTCATCTGCCTTCTGTTTGCCCCTCAATATCTGCTCTCCACCCTTTTCCTGCTCTTGGGCTTGGGAGTGCTGACCTGTCCAGAGTGTATTAGTGGGCTCCCTCGCCCTCCTTTGTACAAGGTGTGTACAAACAATACGGTGAATGTTTAAATTAAAAAAAAATTATAGTAAAAGACACATTGCCATGAATCCCCCTCAAAACAGTCCCCTTCACTTCAAACACACTTATCCCATCATTCTTGCCACCTTCTGAAGCAGTTCTGGAAGTCTTCTGTTGTGAGTTTCTTTAGTTTTGCTGTTGTGGCTGCCTCAATGTCCTGAATCATTTTTACTTTGGGGAAGAGCCAGAAGTCGAACAGTGCCAAATCCGGTGAATAAGGTGCATGAGAACACACCATGATGTTTTTATTTGACAGAAATTGCCATGCCGTACCAGAAGCGATGTGTGACATGGAGCATTGTCATGCTGGAAGATGCTTTATGGCACACTTTAAAACACACCTTCTCTCAACTGTAACTCACACCTGACTACTGAACAAGCTGAAACTTGTTACACATTGTTATTAAGGTTTGATGCACCGCTTCCTGCATTGAAGATCCCTGCCTTTCTGTTAGATGGCACTCGTCAGCGGCATTCACCGTGTATTCTTGATCACAACGGAAAGGCTCTGTATCACACATAGCATCTGGTATGGCAATTTCTGTTAAACATTACGGTGTGTCCTCATTTAAGAAGTGTACTTGAGAGCAAGGGATCCTGAGTTGAACAAACAGAAAGGGATGCCTGCATTAATTGGTATGCAAAAAGCTTCAAGATTTCAAAATAGTTTTATGAAAAGACTCATTACAAAAGACTAATGAAAAATTAAAGATATGAGGTACCTAAAACAAAAGACGATAGGATAAGTGGCACTCCTACTGCTCCCCCATCCTTTTTCACCTGGGTACTCACACTTTACTAATTCTCCATCTGAACTACTTTTCTACTCTAAAGAGACTATTAGTTACCTTTTAACATAAAACTACCTGAGGTTGCAGACAAACCTCAGGTATCCTTCACCCCTTGGTCAAAGACCAAACTGAGGTTCATAGTTAAAGAATTTCTTTCTTTTCTATTGAGCATTTTGTAAGTTTATTTGAGCTGAACTGACAACATATGCAGGAGAGCAAGAACTCAAATGCTTCTAAAGAATTTCTTAAACCCAGGATTTAGACCCTCAAAACCCAGGGTTCCACAAAAGTTTGTGGAAATGATTAGCCAATGAGCTTAGCCATTGCTAAGGGAGTAACCTCTGGAATGTAGAACAACTTTTTATTTCAGGCTAGAGGACTTAACCAAATGTGCTGAAAACCTAAGTGACCCTGGTTTAAACAGGCAAATATAACCATCCCTGTGACTAAATCCATTCACACTGCCACCTTGGTGGAAGTGGTTTGTGCCCTGACAAGGTTTATCTTTGTCTGTGGTGATTATTATTTGCCTTGGGCCTATGAATGCCTAGATCAGCGGTTCTCAACCTTCCTAATGCCGCGACCCCTTAATACAGTTCCTCATGTTGTGGTGACCCCCAACCATAAAATTATTTTCGTTGCTACTCTATAACTGTAATTTTGCTACTGTTATGAATTGTAATGTAAATATCTTTTTGTTTTCCGATGGTCTTAGGCGACCCCTGTGAAAGGGTCGTTCGACCCCCAAAGGGGTCGCGACCCACAGGTTGAGAACCGCTGGCCTAGATGGTTAGCACATAAGTGGGTGATGCCTCTTAGGTTATCTAACTGTGCCCCTAACTTTTCAGAAAGGAACTAAGACAGCTCATTTGTCAACTCTTCTGGATTTACATCCTCACATTAGAAAGGTCCTCCCAGGAGGCATTCATGATTCAGAAGTCATTTCCTTTGGCAGGCCCTACTTCCCTGGTTAGGAATAAATGTAAATGAGGCTATCTATGATCAGGAACCTCCCCTTAACTCTTGAAGATACTGATCCTTAGACTCTGTGGCCAAAGTTGTTCTTGATAATAGGATAACCCTTGATTATGTTTTAGCTGAGCAAGGAGGTACTTGAGCTGTGGCCAGTACCACTTGTGGCACATGGATTAATACTTCTGGGACTCAGTTACATAAGATTACTGAGCAAACCACTTGGTTTAAAAAGGTGACTCCTTCAGTGGGGTCTTTGACTTATTTGATTTTGATTGGTTTGGGTCTTGAGGAATATGATTCTGAAGTACATTCTAAACATTTGCAATTATGCTGCTTATAGTTATCATCACCACAATAATCTCCCTGATGCATTGAGTCCTCTCTCAAAAGCTTTAAATGCATGTTCACAGACATTGACCACCAGGCAAATGATACCTTAAAACTGGAACATCAAAAAGGAACAAAGAGAATGACTGACTAAAGATTGTGAGCCTGAAGTTGTGACCTGATTTTTTGTTTGTTTTAAATAATGGAAAACTGGAATCTAGAGCACAGGTATAGAGTTATTTTCAGAGGGTGAATGGTTCTCTTGACCCTCAGAAGTTACGAAACATCTAATTATCCTTATACAAACTTGATCACATTGTTCAATCCAGCCTTGTTTTTTCTGTTGAGATACTAGTATGCTAATGTATCGTCAGATGATTGAACCCACTCCTTCTCCTCCTCCCCCTCCCCCTTGTGTCTCAGGAAAGTAAAATCCCACAAGAACATCAACATCTTTGTTTTTATTACCAGTGCAATTCAGGTTCAAGCTGGCGAAAACCCAATGTGCAAACAGCTGTACTTAATGCTGGAGAGATTTCAAAGACTGCATTAGATATAATCTGTTTCAAAGTCCTTCTCCAAAGAAGATAAAACTGAACCCACAGATATTTTTTTAACTTCCTATAAAATAACTTTAAAAGAGACCAATTTTTCAACAAGATTCACATCATTACCTCCAAGTCACAGAGCCTTGGGCCCTGTTTATCATCATAAGCATGTGCTAAATGCCTGGGTAAGTACTAAATACTCTCAGTGATCTCTCACCTTCAAGGCAGGGCCAACGTTACTGTGTGCTTGAAAGGCTTTACGTGCACCTTCCCTTTAATAAATACAAGGAACATATTCAATCTTCCATAAAGTGAGAGTAAAGGCAACTTCAGAAAATTTTGCTCTTTTTTCACTTATCTGTATTATACAGATAGGTAAAAAGAAATACTGTGCTTGCTATGCAAACAGTTTCAAAACAAATCTAGGTTACCTTTCCATCACTGCTGTTCCTAGTTAGGTAGCTCTCTTTACTTGTAGGTAGGTTTTATGGGCCAGTTTAACAGAAGTAGGAACGCTCTCAAATGTTTAAGTGTCTTGCCTAAGAACTTTCTGCCAATAGCTAGGATTGATACTCAAAGCGCTCTGCCTTTCCTGCCACCCTAGTCTTTTTTTCTTTTACAATGCAGACCAAAAAAAGGGATTCTATACTCTGGTTTCTCTTCAGATCGTATAAATCTTTTGCCTTTTACTAAAAAAGGGATTCTATGGAAAGTAACCTGACAGGGTGATCATAAATTCCTAACTGGGCAGGTCATGGTAGGTAGTCATGTCCCAGGCCTGTAACTTCTTTAGTGAGAGGTGTTAAGCCAGCCCTGTCCACTGCTCTTGTACATCTAGGTTAGCACACCTTTGAAACACCAGAAGTAATACCTGTGGAAGGGGGTATTAACCCTCAAGAGAGCCCGGAATCTTGTCAACTGTCCTGAAATCCAATCCCTACCTTGCTTTTCCCACCTCCATGTCATTTTCCTCTTTCCCTCCTTAATTCCAAATGCATCAAACAAGCTGCACAACTGTTACTCTGGGAGCATTTGAGATCTTACTGCTCGGCATGTGTCATCAGTTTGGCTCAAATAAATGCTTATAAAATTTTTCTGTAGGTTTGGACATTTCTTACACTGGCCAATTCATAAAGGTTACTAACCCCTTCTATACCCTATTCTTTGAAAATCCCTGTTCTTTGAAACCTGGAAGAGAAAAAGTTATGCTTTTTTGAACTTATGCTTTATTTTTAGGGCTTTTTTTTCTTCTTCTAATTTTATTAGTCTTTTATTCTTTTGGTAATCTCTTCCAGCGTTTATTTCCATTTGTAGGTGATGAAATGTCTAAGGAATCCACTTCAAATATTGGATGAGCTGTGAGCATGGTCTTTCACTTCACTTCAACTCCAGATTAAGACTTTTGATCCTTGTTTTTATATTCCAGTCCCAGAAGTAGTTTTCGCTGTGGAAATTATCTGAAGATAGTCTTATGCTTTATAGTAGTGGGCTACAAGCAGACTCTAGCCTCTCCAGGAACACTACACTGGATGGATTTAAATATGTATTACACTAAGAGGCATTCTCTCAAATGAGTTTAAATGCATTCTATTTTTAGGCAACCTACATGACATGTTTTTTTCTTAAAAACAATGCCTCCACTCCAAATATATCAACATCAAAATAAACGAAGAGCTTGTCCTGGTATGTGGATGAAAAGCAGCAGCCAGCTACGATGACAGGTGCTGGATCCAAATGGCCAACTTTGTTAACGTTTTTCCATTTCTAAACCATCCTTAAAGAAAATCATCTATTGGGACACACCAAACTCACAGCAGTCCAGCAGAGCAACCATCCATCTGGAATCATGTTTTCATCAATAAAGAACTGGTAGTTTTTGAAATTAGCAAGGATGTGCTTGATTTGTTCTGCAGCCCATCATAAAAAGGTTTTCCTCCTTCCGGTCTGTTCTTCAAGTTTCCCTTTGATTGATTTCATGTAATCCTTGATGTACTTCTTGTAGGCTTCTTTTGTGAAGCTGGTTTCCTGCAAATGATGGTTCATGACAATATCAACACCAGGGACTACTGTGCTTTCCATACCTTTGCCCTCGGGGCCATCAGCGGAGGCATTTCCATCAATGTCACCCTCTGTCCTACTGACCATCTTCCCCTCAACCTCCAGGCACAGCCCGTCAGTGATCTCCTGGATCTCATAGATGTTGGAGAATACCTCATCCCAGTTGATGAGGTCCCTGTAGATCATCACGATGGCAGCTGGGAGGTGGGCCGTGCCACGCTAGCTTAGCAGGAGCTTGGAGTGAGCACGATGCAGCTGGAGCAGCGCTCGGGGGAAGGGGAAGTGGGGGGAAGCTAATTTTAGGGTATTTAAAAACATAATTATTACTATTATTTGTGTTATTGTAAGTTATTGTTGACACTGCCGATCTACTGGCCAAACTTTGCAGCAAACTGCTCGAATACTTCTCTTTGTGGAATGTACTCAGGTACTGTATATAGGAAAGTTGTTTTACATCCATCACAAATTAGACTTTTTATGGTGTTTACATTTTCTTTTAATTAACACAATCTGGTGAATCTGCATATTTGCTCTTTTGGTCTTGAAGAAAATCTTTTTGGGTTTTTTGGTTCAACATTTTCTGGTTAAAATTATTTTCAAAGTCCTTCATACAATCATTGACGTCCTAGATTCTGCCAATGAGTATTCCTAGAATTAGGTTATTCTACTGCAAAATGTACCTTTTCCCTTTGTCTCAGCTGCCATCATCTTTCCTTTTACTTCCAAAGCCAGTTCCTATAGCAGCCTCTGCCCAGGACCCCATCCCCAGTCCAACTGCATCCTATAGTTCTTATTTTTAGAATTTGTTTGTAGTACATTTACTAGTATAAATGCAATCATATCCAACAGTGAGTTATACAACATTCAGATAACAGTGGCTGTCAGCATGCTGGTTTTTCTGAGATCACACATATTTGGAGGGAAAATCTGGCTCCTGTTGTAGATACTAAACACTAATTATTCTGCTGGAGCCTCCCTAGCTTATTTCTGCCTTACCTTGTTTGGGTCGTAATATTACTAAGGAGGAACAGATATTCAGTTCAAGTTTGGATACATTAATCAAACATGACATATTTTCTATATTTAGAATAATACCTCTTGAACATAATTAACTTTTTAAATAAGCTTTTATTGTGAAGTATAAAATATTTGGAAATGACTTTAAAAATTTCAGTACAGTGTTAACAATTCAATAGTCCTTACAAGAGAAAGCACCACATTAGAAATACATTCATAAGAAACAATCTAAAATGTATATGCTAAAATTGTTTAGTAGTAATTACAATGTTAGCAAATCACAAAATTCAGAAAAAATTTCTAATTACAAACCTAAATCAGGGGTCTAAAACTCAGAATCTTCAGGGATAAGTAGAAAACACAAACTAGTGAAGTTAGTCTAATATAGGAGGGAGTCCAGGGGATTGTGGCAAACTGGGAATGCATGCCAATCTAAGCATGTTTCAAATTTTGAAATGTTATGCACACAGGATAAAACAGCTGTGGGCCACGCTGGCCTCTATAACTGCCATGCCAGTTTGCAACTTTGGTCTAAATAATTTCTAGCAGTTTATGTACCCAAATGACAGACGGCACGTGTGTGTGTGATGAAGCTTGTCAGTATTTTGCAGGGAGTGGATAAAAACTTCAAGAAAAGGTATTTTGCACTTTCTATCACTTTAGGGAACTGCATGGATATATTCTCAAAACATGGTTAAGAGATAAAAATTTTAAATATCTTTTTTCACATTTGGGAAAAATTAGTTATGCCTAAGAATTAATTAAAATGAAATAAAATTTCAGTCACACACCATAGTGCATTATTTCTTAGTGAGAAATTCTTACGTGAAAAATTAAGTATTGGTTTTACTAAAGCTACTGTTCAGAAAACATTCAATAATACTGCCTCACAATATACAAAAGAAAATACTTGTAATTCATGTTGGCAACAAGTATTACTTTATCTTTAAAGGGCATATTATTGAAGGACTTTAGATTTTATAGTTTCAGTTAAAAGTAAAGGTTCTAGTCTGAACATGTAAAATTGCTATAGCTCAAATGGTTGTAACCATGTGAGTTTGTTACACCAAAGCAGTTTTACAGAATTTATAACTCCAAAAAAAAGAAAAAGGAAAAAGAAAAAAAAAAAGAATTTGCATCTCTTGCCATCAATGACTTTACAGTAATAATTTTTAAAAAGTTTTTAAAAAAGTGATGAAGGCATTAGAGTGACAAATAAAACCACCTTTAAAAATGCTACAAAGGCACATTATAATTCAAATATCCTTACTAGATTAAGACTACAATTTAAAAATATAGACAACACAGATTTCAAACAAATAAAACTCCAATACATTTATTGCAAGCCTTGACACAATACCCAAATATATTTTCTACTTTTTAAGAATATTTTAGCTCTCAGCTTGAGAAGTTTATCATGAAAAGAAAGCACCAAATCTAGCCATGAAATCTTCCAATTTATAAAATGTTAGTAGTTATATCTTTTCTGTAAAGTTTATTTGAGACAAATCGATTCCATTGTGACCATTAATTTTTGAAATTAAAAAAAATCAAAGCTGGTAAGTACTTGGCCTAAAGTAAAGTTAGGTGTTTAGCAAAGTAGGTATGTAAGAAAATGTGAAGACACGACATCTATCAATTAATATAACAGATTTCCATTTTTCATGAATTGAAAGTTTTTAAGTAGGAGACAATTATGTTTGGCTTTTTTTCCTAACCTAATATTTGTCAGTTTTAAAGTTTAGCCAAGTGTTATACATCTTATCTGCATTTTCACATTCATTTTAATTATTAAATCACTTAAATATGAAACGATCAGGAATTTTTAGAATTCAAAGTTAACACTGATTTTACACATCAAAAGTATTTCCATGGCAGAAAATTAAAGGTGAAAATAAGATTATAAATTCACTATAGTTCCATAAAAAAAAATAAACATGTTTCTCAAAGAAAGTCAATAGTAGAAATATATAAGGGTATACAATACAGGCTGATGTATTATAACTTTGATTTAGCAGTTCTATAAAAACCCATGGTTTCTATGAATAAATTCATTTTAATTAATAACTTATTAATTAAAATAAATTAATAAATTATAATTAAACATTTAAAGGTTTCATAAATAGTAAAAACAAATTATTAAGTATATGGGATTCCCACAAACAATAACAAAATACTTCAACATCCTTTCATCCCAACATCCTTTCAAAAACTGGTTTAGTTATTAAAATGCATTCAAAGATTATAGTTGACTGATTCGTAACACTGAATTCCAGACTAAATTGGTAGCAGTTAGATATATGGTTCTGTCTGCTTGTTCTTCACATCATCAAGAATGAAATTCCTTTTGTAAGAAACATGATGGCCACACTGATTACAGCGATCCAATTAGTTAGCATATTTACGGAGAAAGCGTTCAAATGCATCATAGATGGCTCGTCTAAAATTGAAAATGAAAGAAAAACTACAATTAGCAAAAAGGGAGGGAGGTGGACAGACAGTGCTTTTACAGTGAGTTATTTCCAAAATTACCTATGACTTGCAACCTGACCTCCTCTCCAAATAGCTGTGAATGAGGCAGGTACCTGAGGGTGGGTATTTGGATCCATGTAACTTGACCACTACTGGAAAACTTCAAATGTATTTCCAGCTGATGATAGGTTCATAAGCACCATTTTTTTCTGTGAAGCACTTTTTTGTTCCTTAGGATTTATATAATATGTATGTATATATACAGAGGGTGCCAAAAAAATGCATACACATTTTAAGAAAGGAAAAAACTGTATTAAAATTGTAATACAAGGAATGATGCTAGCATTCATTTGATTGATATCATCTTTTGAGCGAACATCATACTATACATAGCTACCATAATTCAATTCAACTTCAAAAAGTAATACATAGATAACATCTCTTAACGTGTATATATATTTTTTGCACCCCTCGATATATATGTATAATACATAGAATGATAAAAAGAAAAAACTATTTTGTTGCTTATTGAATATTAACTGGCAATGTAACTTTTCGGAATGTAGTATTTAATCTATTTCATAGATTATAATATAGAAGCTTTCTGTGTATGAAAAAAATCATGTCCCTAGCAACTGAACTTAAAATCAAAACCCTTTATTTCCTACATTTACTGGGTATTTTAACATTTAATTAGAAAGGAATAGTGAAATTGATCTGGCCCAGGTCCATAAGGTATTATTTCTAAAGCTTATTATTGTTTTCATATTGTGAAATTCTACATTTTCATAGTAAAATGTTCATAAAATTCAAAAATACAGAACAGGGAAAAAGTCAAAATCTATTACTCTAAGGTATCTACTTTAATGTTTTCATCTATTTCCTCTAGGCTTTTTAAAATGCATACACCTCTATATTTTCACCCAGCTTAAATTACTATGAGATCATATTAATTCTGTATCTTAAGCATTTCCCTCATCTTTAAAAAGATAGAAAGGTTATCTTTAAAACTGGCAGCCTACTAAAAAATTATGATTTCCAATATGTTGGGAAGACACAGCTTTCCATCACAATTGCATTTGTTTGGCTTAAAAATTTGTCCCTTGTAAAATGTGACAAACAATGGGAAGGTAAACAAAGATGGACATTTGCGTGTTGGTGTAAACACATAAAGAGATTTTGTTTTAGGGCAGTTGTGAGAGCAATAGTTGACTACAAGTGAGAGAGAAAGGGTCCTGAGATGTTTGTCCACTGGACGGTTTTTTCCCCCAGAGTTAGTCCTGGGTACTTGCTCTGCTAGAACAAATTTTACTTCCTGGTTACCTAAGGTCACAATGTAGGTTTGTGTACATGTAATAAGGAGGATTAGGAAAGGAATACTAACATGTGCCCTTTAAATCATTCGAATAGTCTCGTATTCACTTGTATTATCAAGCAGTTCTGAATAACAACACAAAATAGGTATTACAGCACATAAAGAAGTGGCTTGTTTTACACCTGGTGAGTGAAAAGAATGGAGTTTTAAAAATTCAATTCCAGGGCCGGCCAAGTGGCGTGTTGGTTAAGAGCTGGCTTGGGACGCGAGAGGGTCCCTGTTCGGATCCCACATATGAGGGCCAGTGACACTGCCCTCTACAGCTAAGATGCTGAACAACAGCTCAACCTGGAGCTCGGCTGCGGCTTAGGCTGCAGCCCCTGCTGCAGTGGGTTGCCATGGGCTACCGTGTGCAGCCAGCAGCCAGCGTGAGCGACCAGCAGCTGCCTTGAGCGGACGTCCAGAAGCCGGAGGCTGATCTGCCTCGCCCGGGAAGAGTGCAATGATGGTGCCAACTTGGGTCAGTGAAGAAACGTCCTCCACAATTAGACTGAAGAAAAGGACAGCAACTTGTCTGTTCCTTTTCCCCCAATTCCCCAGCACTGTTCCCATCCCTCAATTCCCCAATAAAAATCATTAAAAAAAAAATTCAATTCCAATGTCATCTGAACTTCGTTAGGTTTTGAAGTGACTGGTGGGGAGCAGGAGAGGCCACACACCTTTACTGGTGACTCCACCTAAGCAGGCTATTTAATCATTTTTGTCCCCTGTATTTCTGTGTAAAGGGGTTAATAACATATCAATGCTCTAGTACCTGGCACATGGTAACAGCTAACATTTATCTCTTTCTCAAATGAAGCCTTTAAGTGAGCACTTTTGAGTTTTTACAGCTGACTTTGATTATATCCATAGCTATTCTTCCTGATGCCTTTCAGCCAAACTCCCACTTAGACACATAAAAGAGAAAAATTAATTTGATACCCATTTACTAAAGCAAGCCTGTGGGTTCTCTGCATTCGCAAATATAACAGAACTTTAGACTCTGCTTGAGCAACCCTAGCAACCCTACGTACTCACAATTTTTGTTTGTTTTTTTTTGTTTTAGTTTTGCTGTGCCAGAAGGTCACATAAGGTAGGCAGCCTGCTCACTTACTAACAGGGACTCAAATGCTGAACACATATTTTTTTTTTAAAGTTATACAATAAAAGGAAGGTTTATTATATGCTTCAAGACATTACAGACTTAAAGAATTAGTCTGTACTCAAAAAGGTGATATCTATAAGTTGAACTAAAGTAACAACATACAAAGAATTACTTCTCAGATTAAAAAGAGTTAAAACAAGTCAAACATATAGCACACACTATTTTCCTATTATATAGCTATCCAGCTGGAAGTTTGGGAATACTTATTACACATACACACAGGGTATTGATCTAAGCACTTTATGTTTAACCATTTTATGTTAAACTAATGTGTTTAACCATTAATGATAAATATAATTCAATGATACCTTTTACCATCAAATTTGAATAGAAGTAGAAATAATGCAGGATACCAAAAAACTAGAGGTATAACATAAAAGTTTTATAAGTTCTAACAAATATTGGAGTCATAAAAGGTTATTCATATTAAAACCAATATTTCATTTCTCATTTAAGGTTCAATATTCAGTTGCTTCTGAAAAACACTGCTAGATTTTCCACAGATACTCAGGCCATTCTGAGAGCAGAATATCCGAATGGAGTAGAAAACTCAAGGTGAACCAAAGCAAGTTTTATAAACCTTGGTGTTCCTCCCTACTCCCTAAAACACCTGGCTGCTAACATCTAAAGAGGGTAAAACCACACAATAAAACATGCCTGTCATATGCTAGTTCTCCCTAGTTCTCTAGGGGGGAAAAAAAGAACAGGGCAAGAAAGGAGCGTACCACAATGTGAGAATTGAGGGAGGCAGGGAGGAAATAAGCAGACTAAAATGTACAATAAGAATACCCAACCTTTTATATTTGGTGAGGCAAAAAAATTCTAGTAACAAACAACAAATAGACACCTGTTTAGACCAATCAGTCATCTTATCTTACCTGAAGAGTCCTTGTTTGAAAAGGTAAGCACTGATATGACCCCCTTCTAGATAACGGATTTCACAGCCAGGCCAAATCTCTTGTAGACTTCGAACTCCTGTTCGTGGAATATAGGCATCTTCTTTGGCTTGAACCACTATAATGAGGCTAGGGTCAACTGGGACTAGGTACAGGATTTAAAAAAATGCAACATACATACTTTTACAAATCTCTAAGAGTTTTATATAAGTACTATAATTGTATTAGAAAATAAAGCACATCATACAGTACCATAAGTGAAACAGTTTTCAAACTGGAAGTGTATTTGATTAGGTTAAATATCCATTATAATATATCATAATATCATCTCTAATACAGTGAGATGAATATTCTAAAGACACAAAAATCCAGTGGTTTTAAAGACCTAATAGTAAGATGGCTTTAGATGATCATGGATAAAATATGATATTTAAATAATCAACTTATCTTGGAAAACAATAAAGAGACTCTTGAAAATGCAAAATTATCTTATAAAACATCCTTAAAAATATTTCACAAATATTTACGCATCAGCAAATATTCCCAATGTCATATAAAAATTCATACCTGAGAAATTTGCTACATGAGTACATTCATCCATGACTCCTTTCATAAATATTAAAGATTCTTTCTGAAGGTTCTTTCTTCTTTGTTCTTTACTGAGTAGGTGGTATGACTGAGGATTACAACTTGTGTAACTACTTTTGTTATTTGAAAGTGTTTGACTGAAGCACTCCACTTTAGAGGTATCTTGCAACAAGAGTCCTTCTGATGTGGCACTGAAAGATGTTTTACTAGATGTATGGCACTCGGCAGGTTTTTGGGACACAACTTGGTCTGTCATATCTAAATTTAAAGTTCTAGAAACCAGATTAAGGTTAGTGAGCTTGTCTGTACTGCTAGGGAAGTGTTTCACGAACTCTTGTCCCATTTTGAAAGAATCTGTCTGAATATATGAAAGAAAAGAAAACCTCATTTAATACAAAATAGGATTTTATTTAACAGCCTTGTTAAAACAGAGATATCACAAATATCTCTATGATGTCCAACAACAAATAAATGGAAAGCCAAAATGTGGAACATACATAGAATGGATTATTATTAGGTCTTAAAAGGGAAGGAAATTCTGAACATGCTAAAACATGGATGAATTTTGAAGACATTATGCTAAATGAATAAGCCAGGCACAAAAGGACAAATCCTGTATGATTCCACTTTTAGAAGGTACCCAGACTAGTCAAAGTCATAGAGACAGAAAGTAGAATGGTGGTTGCTGGAGGCTGGGAGGATGAGGGAATGCAGAGTTATTGTTTAATGGGGACAGAAGTTCAGTTTAAAAAGATGAGAAGTTCTGCATTTGGATGGTGGTGATGGAGGAGATGACTGTCACACAATAATGTGAATGTACTAATCCCTCTGAACTGTATACTTAAAAACGGTTAAAATGGTATATTTAATGTTGTACATATTTTACCACAATAAAAAAAAAAAGAAAAAGATGTCAAAATTTAACTGAGGACTAAGATAAATGACTTACTTGTATACTTTATGGCTAAAGGTTTCCTACTAAACAATAAATCATTTAGTCTGCCTCATGTTTTTATTGCCAAAGTTTGGAAATTGATGAACTTCCAAAAGTCTTGGCAGTGTATCCTGGCAGTAATACACCAGCCACTCCAAATCCCTTTCTCAGACTGAACTAAGAATAAAAAATGATCACAGGAAAAATATTGCCTATTAACATCTCAGAAGCGTGTATTACATTTAAGGACTTATAAATACAACATAATTTCAGCTAAAAAACTGTCAAATGTACGAATCTCCCTTTAAAAAATGCATGGTAAGTTTTCTCGTAAGCTCTCCAATACAGGTGTCTCTCTAATTGTATGTATATAGAGGATCACAAAGAACTAGCAGGTAGAGCTATTTTGTAATGAAGTTCTTAGGCAAATAATTAACTAAACCTACTTTGTAAGAGTGAGGTTTATAAGTGATGTAATTATAATTAAAAAGCCCTCCTTGATAGCAGAAAGATCTCTTTTCTTTCTGAGATTTTTCATCATTCTCAATAACTTTTAAAGTGATTGTGCGAAATTTTTAAATTTATGAAAAGGAAAAAATAAAATTCATAAAAAGAATTGGTCACCTTAGGGGTGTAATGAGGAACCAATTCATTATTCTGAAAAATGGCAAATTAAGGGAAAGAATCAAACATGTTTCCTGCTTTTACTGTATGAGCTAAACTACTAGATAACCAAATAATAGATGAGAGAAGTACTTTTTTATAAAAGTACTCAAACTAATAAATGAAAAAGAAATGAAAGAATTAGAATATCAGCATTTTGCAACCCTCAAAAAATTAACTGCAGGCATTAAGCATGAATGGAGGCTTATACCACAAAAAAGAGACAACCAAATATTATATGCTTCCCAAACTCTTACCAAAGAAATAAAAACTGAGTTTAATCAAGCCTCTAGACCAGCGGTTCTCAACCTGTGGGTCGCGACCCCTTTGGGGGTCAAACAACCCTTTCACAGGGGTTGCCTAAGACCATCAGAAAACAAAAAGATATTTACATTACGATTCATAACAGTAGCAAAATTACAGTTATAGAGTAGCAACGAAAATAATTTTATGGTTGGGGGTCACCACAACATGAGGAACTGTATTAAGTGGTCGTGGCATTAGGAAGGTTGAGAACCGCTGCTAGACCTAGTTGGCAATCTTCAGGCATCACAGAGCAGGAGGAACATGCTAACCTGGACCATGAGAACACAATCAGAAAAATCTAGAATGTGAGCAACTCTACAGGTAAATAACCCCAGTTTCTCAATAGAAAAATTTTAAGGAAAAGAAAGGGATGGAAGGGAACTTATAAAGACACTTCAGAAATATCAAAAGAACTGTAGTGCCTAAGGATGTTTGGACAAGAAAATTATTTTAAAGACAGAAAGAAGTAATTACTATAAAAATCAGGATAAAGATAACTAATAACTTTTGATTAGGACACATGAGTGGCTTCTGAGCAGGGTGGTCAAGTTCTGTTCTTGACCTATTACAAATGTGTTTGCCATTTAATAAATGTAGGAAGTCATACATTTGCTTTGCATAATTTTCTGTATCTGGATTTTATTTTTTATATCTGTATTTTATTTTAAAAAGTAAAAACTAGGACTGCTTTTTAAAAAATTACAATTCTTTTTAAAAATTTGAATCATTAAACACAATCAACTTTCTCCCCAATGTTATGTAGAAATTAAAAATACTTACTCCACAATATTCAAGCATGTGAATAATTTCTTCTTCATAAACTGTCTGTGTATAATACTGCTTTTCCAGCTCCCTCCAATTAATTGATTTACTCAGCACTCCCTGAAATAACAAACTAAATTAAGATCAAATCACACCATAAAGCATTTTGTCCAAAAGTTTTATTATTACTGTGCAGAAAAGAGAACAGCAGGCTCAAGATTTCCTATCTTCAGAAAGGCTGGCTATAAGGTTGGAACTTGACAGAGGTCTGGGAACTTGACTAATATACAGTTCTTTACCCTGACATAAAACTTCCTAAAGGATAAAGTGGGTCTCTGGGCCTAAGCTGCTTGCACAAACAATGTAGTTTCTGCCGAACACCTACTTTCCTTCTGGAATTTTGGTGCTAGGCAGAGGGTGCCTAAGTGACTGACACCTGAGGAAAACCCTGGTCTACTAGGCCCCGGCGAGCTGCACTAATGGACTGTCACATCTCATTGCTGGAGGAATCACACATCCCGGGAGAGTCCACTGAAGCTTGGGCCTGGCGTCCTCTGGACTTTGCCCTGTGCACCTTTTCCCTTTGCTGATTCTGTACTGTACCTTTTGCTGTAATAAGTCTTAGTCATAAGTACGACCACATGCTGAGTCCTGTGATTTCTTCTAGTGAATCACCAAACCTGGGGGTGGTTCTGGGAGCCCCCCACACAATTACCTTTAATCATATGTAGGTATCTGAATATTAATTACAATTCAATTACCGTAGTGAAGACCCCAGATGCTGTGGACCAAGACAGACATGGAATCAATGGCATAGGCTTAGGCCAATTGGATACCGCTAAGGAAGCCATCTGTAATACGTTAACACGGTCGGTTAGAGAGCTGCTGTTTAAACTTTCATTAAAATAAAAAATATTTAATATTAACAAGAACTCTGTGTAATCGTTGGTGAGATAAGACATGAACACCAAGTCTCTAAATACTCATGAGAATGTCTAGCAACCTCTTCAAACTTCCCAAATTATAAATTGAACAATGACATATAACTTCCCCCTTAGAAAGCAGTAAAGTATATTAGAAAATTTAAAGTAACCTCAAGACCCTTCACAGAGAGCTACTTTCTACTAGTAAATGTACACAAACATGCAGAGATGCAGGTGCTGGGCAGCAGGCAAGGCACACGTTACCTGAGTAACTTGCTCAGGTACAGCAAAATCATACCTATAAAACCTCAGACTCTTGAAGTTGGTGGAAAGATGCCAAGATTGTGGTAAACTAAAAAGTAGAATATATGGCTGATACAAAATAATGTGTGTGTTTAGAGAGGGGAAAATGAAAGATGGAGTCTTGTTTTCCATATGAAGACGACAGTGTGATCAAAGGCAAGATGGGGAGAAAGCAGAGTCTGGTGGGAGAACAGCCAGTAGACTTCAGCTCAGCTGGTCGATAGGGCACAGGTGGCCAGCGGGCCAGGGAGATGGGTAGGGCTGGAAAGATTAATCAGGATCAGATGAGAGGTCCCTTGTTCTGTAGATAATGGGGAACTAATAGAGGCCTGAGCAAACGAGTGGCATTGTCAAAGAAGTGAGTCAATGATAGTCGTTTATGGGCTTGGTTAGAGAGGATGAGATTTGAGGTAGGAAAACTAGCTAATAGGCAGTAAGTAAGTAGTCCACATACAATTGTAAAGCCCCAACCTACATCATAACAATGGAAACACTACTACTACGTAGGAAAATAAAATTTTTCCACCCTTCAGTTTCGCTGTCTGGTAGTTGTTTTCACTTTGAGTAAATTTTTGAAGCTAATTTTATCAGCTTCACTTTTTGGTAATTGCTTTAAATTTGAGTAAATTTTTTAACTTAGATTTATAATTGAAACGACTTACAACAAACTATATTTTTCTAATGTACTGAGTAACTAATTTGTCCAGGTAATGAACCAGAGCATGTTCCTGGCTCTCACTGAATCCCCATGGAGCAAACAGGCTGCTTAAACAAGTACTAATCACAGTATAGTGAAATAAGTACTAAGAGGAGTTGAAGTATAGTCTGGAGCAAGGAAGGCTGGGAGTCAGGAAGAGCGTCTCACAGGAAGTAAGCTCTAAATTACAACCAGAGGAGCAAGCTGTTATTTAGCTGGGTGAAAGGGCATGGACAGGGCACTGGAAGAATGCCAGCACCGGCCTAGCTATGGCCCGGTGCCACAGCCAGCCTGGGGCAGGTTTTAGCTGGAGAGCAGAGATCAGACTTAGAAAGACCACTATGGTATGGAGAACAACTGTTAAGAAAAAGATGAATAAGAGAAAAGACTAGCAACAGAGAAACCCATTAGGAGACTCTTTTAGTCCACTCTAGAAAACAAAGGTAAAACATGGTGGTACCGGAGACAGAGACAAGAAATAAATGAAAAGTATTTTCCAAATTAGCTATTTTCACCAAAAATAAGATATTTGCAAGTGAAACTTGAGTTAGGTTTTATCATCAACTTTTAATAAAACATTGAATCCAATACCTGAGATAGAACTGTGGAGTAAGTATAATCAATGTTTAATCACACACACAAAAATATCATTACTTCATAACTGGAATGAAAGTTTAGAATTTGTTTCTGCTTTCACCAAAACTAAAACTAATTCTATTCCAAAAATGAAATTTAAAAGTACCCAGATTCCCTAGATCTTATACACGAATGAAAGACTTACATGTCCTCCCATGGATATGCCGGTCATGCCTAGAGGGCCATAACCCTCCCGCTCCAGCCAGTGCAAGAGAGCTGCGGATTCTAAAACAAGAGCTCCTCCCATCACAAACAGGTCAGACACATTTTTTAAGCTGGACCTTCTAGCCTCACAAAACAAAAAAGAAAATTATTTATTTTATGTATTTACATTTTAATATATGCACATTTACAACAGGCAGCCAGACTTCAAGTTTTTCTTTTTTTGAATTTTTATGAATTTATTTGAGCCAAATTGACTACATGTAACGGAAGCAAGATCTCAAATGCTCCCCAAGTTTTTCTTTTAAAGGACCGGATAGCTAAGTAAAACAATAGACTAAGTTGATAGAATTAGAGTGCTGCTAATATTGTTAGACATATTAGTCACCTAAAACTTAGTTTTAAAAGTTATATCTGCTCTATAGCATATAATCTTTATTGAATTTCTAACTATACTATTTTGAAGTCCAGAAAAGAAAAATCTTACTTATTCGATGGCACTTTAAAAAACTGTTAAAATATTTATGGGAAAATAACATTTCTATACTGCCAATTTTTAATTAAATTACCACTATGATATAAGGAAAAACAAATTTGTAGTTGTCCCCCTTTAGAAAGGATTTAATACAATAGAACTTAAAGCATAACATTTTAAAAACAACAATGTAAAAGAATTTAACCTAATACTAAGCTCAGGTATTACCAAAATCTTAAGTACATAGCCTGTTTTCATAAAATACACATGTTACAAATATAATAAAATATTGGAAAAATAAATTTTTATAAAAATACATTTTAATTTAAATAAAGACCAATTCAACTGGAATTTTTTGTTTTAGAAAATGATTTTTACATGAAAGTACATTTCCTTATAGGAAGTTCTTAAATACATCTTTTTAGATTCCAGAACCATTGTTACATATTGGTAAGAAACTATTATTTTATTACTAAAGTGACCAAGTTAGAATATATTTTTCAAAATTTAATTCATATAAAAACATACATAATTGGATACTGGATAAAATCTTGTCAAACTGTACAAAAATTCATTTTATTTTTGGTTATTTATTATATGTCTACGTAGAATCATTATATGCAAAGAGCCAGGTGCCACAGGAATGCCAAGTTGTTGAAAACAGAATTCTCGCCCCCCAGAACTTATGCCCACCGTCCTACCACATCCTCTCAGTTCTCTAAGCCCAGAAGGCAGGGCTTCTCTTTATGGAAACTATGGTCCTATGTCAAAATAGATCACGCCCATGCTTCATCAAAAAAGAGCCCATTTACCCTTATAATTGTTTCCTGTCCTCATTCCAATCTTCTATTTATGCTCACATAATTCCCCATTATTGATTTTGACCTGGTATGGAAGTTTGAATTCTCAGGTCCACTTCAGTTTGTTGTTTTATACAGAAGTTACTGATGTGAGGTCCATATAACTATGGACCCAGTCTCAAATTATTTAACCACTTTTGATGAACATAGGGTTAAATGACATTAAAAGAGAATTGTTTATTATTATTTAAATTGCAAGCCATTTCTTATGATGAATTATTTGAGAAAAGTCAAATACATTGGAGCATTATTATATTTCTTGGGTGCATAATATGGGAGAAGCTATTTTATAAACATTATAATTCTCACAATAATTCTGCAATGGAGACATTATATTGTATTCCTACTTTGTAAATGAGGTAACTCATACTTTGGACAAGGTCATACAATTAGTAAACGACAAGTTACAATTCCAACCTATGTATATATGAAGCTAAAGTCAAGAGTTTCTATTAAACAACTTTTCTCCTTCTCACTACAACTCAATAAACTCTTTTGGGTTTTTAAACACCTGTAGACAGGGTAAAAATGGCACACCTAGTTCTGAATTCAGAGCTTGGTTCCAGAGTAAGAATTCTTGGACTATTTAGCCTAGACTTTTATTTCTCACAAGGTTTTACAAAGGTTATCCTAAGTCTAATTATCTAATCACAACACTCAGGTTGGCCTCCACCCCACCCCATTTTCATCTATACCTCTTTTATAACATGACCACACAGACATGTGACTTCTAATTCTACCTCTCCACCCTTTTCCAACTCCTTACCTGACTTCTCCCCTTGCAGGCCTAACAAACATAACAAATATGTCCAAGTCAGAACTTTTGATGTCTTACCAACAATATCCAATTTACCAACAAGTCTTATCTTTTGACTTCTAAATTATATCTCGAATCCATTAGAACTTTGTTGCATCTACACTGCCACCCCCTGTAAGTTGCTCTTTCTGCCCCCAGCAGTATTGCACTCACTCCTATTTGATTTCTCTGCTGCTACTCTTGCCCCAGTAAGCTAAAATAAGCCTTTAAAAACATAAATAAGATCACTCCTGTGCTTGAAATCCTCCAGATATTCCACACTACACTGAAGTTCGAATCACTGTGGCGTTTCCTAATCTGGTCCTTGCCTGCCTTTCTGATCTCACTTTGCACTCCTCTCCCACCTCGTGCCACACCGGGCTTTTCATTTACTCTTCCTTCTCTGAGGCTGACCTTCCTCCAGGTCTTCACCTTGGTGGCTCCTTCTCATTATATCACAGCCTCATACCTAATACTGCTCCAACCCTGCACCCACCCTCTATTACTCTTTATCTTGTTTTATTTTCTTCACAGCACTAATAAATATCTGAAATTATCTTATTTATTTTTAATCTCCCATACTAGAAAAGAAGCTCTATAAACGTAAGGACCTTGTCTTTTTGTTGCTGTCTTCCCAGTGTTTGGGGTCAAATATTTATTGAATGAATCAAAATGGGGTCAAATATTTATTGAATGAATCAAAATTAAACACAATACAGATTATAGAAATGCAAACAAATGCCTTCAAAGTTCAGCATTTTATAAGACCAGGAAGAAAAAGTTTATTTTCAGATTATCTATATTATGCATTGCAAGAATAGAAAGAGTAGTGTTTAATTTCACAGGTAAATGTACTTTAAAAAAGAAAATGTTTTATCATTTCTTCAGTTAAAGTTTTACAAATAAAATATATTATCAGCCTATTAAAATATTTATATCTGTATCAGATATTTAAAATGCACAAAGCTTACAATAAAAATTTTGGTTAACATTCCTACTATTTTCCCCCCAATAACACTTGGAGATGAAACTTAGAAATGGTTAACCAAAGACTACCAAAAAATTTAATATCGCTGAAAATTCAGTATAAAGACTGAAAAAATGAAGGTGACATATACTTACAGTTGGTCCTTGGGTTTCCTGCAGCCATTTAAGAATGTGGGTCAAAGAGAAAGTTTTAAAATAATTAAATATACTCTGTATTTCAAAACACATTAACTTGAGCAAAATAACTAAGGTTGAAGACAATTTAATACTAAAATAACTGTTTCCCAGTTATCTCAAACATGCTGATTAGAAGTTCTCAGGCTTTTCAACTTAATTATTATTTTTCTTTTTTAAACAGCATTATTGAGATAAAATCACATACCACACAATTTACCCATTTAAAGTGTACAATTTAATGTTTTTAGCATATTCATAGGGTTGTTCAATCTTCAACTTAATTTTAAAATGAAGTTTACTGTTTTTTATTTATATGTTTATTATACAAAACCTGGAGAATACACAAAGACTTATTAGAAAACTACTTTATCTACAGACTATATTAATATTTTGGTGTATTTCCAGTCTTTTTCCTTTTGTTTTTTAAGTAAACTTTCTGTTTTTAGTTTTTTTGCACACCTAGGTCATACCATAATTTTATATCCTGTGTTTGCATTATAAATACTTTTCATATATTACTGTAAACTTTTTAATAATAACTAAGTATTAAAATTTACTGAATGTTTATTTACTAGGCACTGTTCTATACAGTATTAGCTATTTAATACTCTGAATAGCCTAAGAGATTATTCACATTACCAATGAAAAAACTGAGGTGCTAAAAGTTAAGTAACAGGTCCAAGGTCATACAGGTAGTAATTGGTAAAGCAATAAACATAATAAAATCAACTGCATAAGATTCCAGTATTATGAATCACAGTTTTCTCAACTATTTTTCTATTGTTGGACATTTAAGCTATTTCTAATGTTTTACTATTATAAATAAAACTAAATAACTTTTCTCTTTTCTATCATTTTGTCTTTCCTTAGTAATTTATCCTTAAAATAAATGTCCCAGAACGAAAATCACTGTCAAGGGATGTCAAAATTTTTAAGGCTCTTGATGCATATGGTGAAAATGCTTTCCCAAAGGGTTGAACTGATATTCAGTCATCAGTGATGAGAATGCCCATTTTATAATAGTCTCAGGGCTACTGTTTTATTTTTTTCAATCTTTGGTAATTGTTGCTTTAACTTTACATTTCTCTTATTACCAGCAATGTTGAGCATTTGTTTATATCTGTGCATCAGTTTCATTTCTTCTTCTGCGTATAGTCTGACGTCATCTTGAAAATTAAGTTAAGAACTGTTCTAAGCCTCAACTGATACTTAAATGTAAATGCATTTAAAACATGAGGGTTTCCTTAATAGCAAACATTTACCTTATTAATATTAAAATCTAGCATAAGTCTCACAGAAAACAGAAGTATAATTTATCTTTATTATACAATAGAAGCACAATCCTTACTTTGGTTTTTAAGGCATGAAACAATTTTTTACTTCATTCTTGCTTCTTAAGTATTTTCTGAATTGATTACTAAATGTAACCAATTTAGAAAAACTGGCTACTATCTATCATTCCTTTTGATGACTAAGTCTATCAATAAATAAAAGATTTCTAGGTACCACAAAAGGATATAATAAGGGTTTTCTAACAACAAAGAAGCCATTCGGGCTTCTTTAATCATAGGACGAGCCATCAGTGTTCGTCGTCTCCAGTAATGCTAAGGAAAGAAAAGATGGCATTCTTAAAAAATATAATAACCACATCTGTTAATGAGAGCATACTGACAAATTAGGGATTAGATGTTATAATAAAGTCTTACATGATCTCCTGTTCCAGCAAGATGAATGCATACGGGTCTATATTTGCTGTTCCATTGTTTAGGCACAATAAATTGGAACCTGTTTAAAATAAAACACATCAGTAAATTCCCTTTAAAAAGCTTTTAATGCAGGGGCCGGCCGAGTGGCTCGGTTAAGAACTTGCTTAAGAGTGCGAGCTCTGAGCAACAGGGTCGCCAGTTCGATTCCCACATGAGCCAGTGAGCTGTGCCCAAGCTGAGCTGCCACTGAGCTGCCAACAGGTGGCAGGATGGCTCAGCTGGTGAGAGCACATGCTCGTAACAAGGTTGCCTGTTCAAGATGGTGGGCTACACCCGCCCACAACTAAAGACTGAACTTGGCACCTTGAGCTGAACTGCGACCTGGGTGGCTCAGGGGATAGAGTGTGCACTCTTAACAACAAGGATGCTGGTTCGACTCCCACATGGGATGGTGGCTACGCCCACCCACAACTAATTGAACACAGCACCTTGAGCTGAGCGGCCACTGGACATGGAGCTGAGCTAGCTGCGCTCTCCACAACTAAGATTGAAGAACAACAACTCGGCTGTTCCCCTCCCACAATTCCCCAATGAAATCTTAAAAAAAAAAGAAAAGCTTATAATGCAAACTTTCAATTCTTAGAAGTTTCAGAAATTATCTGCGAGAAAAATCATTCCGAATTTAGACATTCAAATTTTAATTGACCAAACTAATGTCTGCCTAAAGTCAACAGAGATATTGCAAATTTACTTTGTGTAGGATATTAAAATATTCCATTACAATATAAACACAGAATTTATTGTAATTATATTTGACCTGTTCAATACCACACCTTTCAAAATGCATAATGAAATTTTCTTATTTTGTAAAGACATCAGTGTATATGGTTAAGTGTTAGAAAACCACTGTAGCTACATTCTCAGGCAACATACACTGCAATTCTGCGCTTACTTTGGGCAAGGGACAATATCACTAGTTATCTACTGCCAATAAACTTGAAATAGAGCATAAATACATTTAGGATGGTTTCAATGATTAATTCTGCTTTGTACTCATGGGAACGAACTCTTAATTGAAAATCTCCTAATGAAAACTATCAATCTTGCACTCTCAACACTGTCCTGCTTGATATTTTGAAGATTTGCGGGAAACGAAAACATAAAAAAAAAGTTTTCTTCGAATTAGCGTCTTGGGTTTCTCTGGATAAATACCCAAGAGTGGAATTGCTGTGTCATACGGTATTTCCATTTCCAGTTTTTTGAGATACCGCCATACTGATTTCCATAATGGCTGCACCAATCTGCAGTCCCACCAACGTGCACCGGGGTTGTCACTTTGAGGAGTAAAAAGTATAACTATTGCACTGTTTTGTACAGCTGAAACTAATTTAAAAAGATGTTTATTTCAAAAAGAAAATTATTCTAAAAAAAAAAAAGGTTTTCTGCAGAAAGCTGGATATCTCTGCGATTATTTGTGATTTCCTTTTGTCCCATGGCAATGGATGTAAAGACTTTATTATGGGAGGATAGTTTTAAGGCAATAGGAATCTTTTATTACAGTACTGACTGCACATCTAATACAGGCTCATTAAAAAGTTTGCTCAAATCAGTGTCTTCTCAGAATCGTTTTCAGAGCCCCACGATGAATGGGTAGAGGCCACGTGAGCTCCTCTGCCACAAATGACTGGGCCAGGTGTAGGCCAAATTAGGGCAATGAGATTGGCTCCTTTGGTAATCTGGAATTAAGACAGACTCTATTTGAGAGTCTGTTGGGCTTTTGAAAATGGAGACTCTGTGGGGCTGTGGTAGCTGTATTTTTGTCTGCTGTGTGAGAAACAGAGAAAGCTAACCAAACCACAGAGAAATGACATGGATATGGGTCATAAAGCAGAGCTAAGAGACCATGAAGCACCCAGGAAAGGGAAGTATCTACAGAGATCTTAGATGGTTTTCCATTTCCAGCTTCCAAAATCTCTTAAAAAAAAAAGATGTAATTGACATTTAACATATTATTAGTTTCAAGAATACAACATAATGATTCAATATATGTATATATTGTGATATAATCACCACAATAAATCTAGTTAATATCTATCACCACACAGTTACAAAATTCTTTGTGTGTGTGTGTGTGTGTGTGTGTGTGAGATAAGAACTTTGAAGAACTACTCTCTTAGCAACGTTCAAATATACAATACAGTATTATTTACTATAGCCACCATGCTGTAGATTACATTCCCATGACTTTTTTTTGGTCACCTTTACCCATTTTACCCACCCCTCCTCCCCCCACATCTGGCAACTACCAATCTGTTCTAGCTATGAGTGTGAGGTCTTTCTTTATTATTATTATTGTTATTATTTTAGACTCCACAAATAAGTGAGATCATATGTTGTCTTTTTCTCTCTTTTTTTTTGGTGAGTCTACTTACATTTATTTATCTACTTTGTTTATAGTTTTAAAAAACCAGCTCTTAGTTTCATTGATCTTTTCTATTATATTTATAGTCCTTATTTCATTTATTTCTGCTCTGATCTATGCTATTTCCTTTTTTCTATTGGCTTTGGGCTTAGTTTGTTCTTTTTCTAGTTCCTTGAGGTGTAAAGTTAGGTTGGTTGAGATCATTCTTTTTTCCTTAATGTAGGTGTTTATCCTTATGATCTTTGCTCTTAGAACTGCTTTTGCTGTATCCTATAAGTTTTGGTATATTATATTTCCATTTTCTTTTGTCTCAAGGTGTTTTTTTTTATTTCTTCTTTGACTCAGTGGTTGTTTAGTATTATGTTGTTTAATACCACATATTTGTGAATTTTCCAATTTTCTTCATGTAACTGATTTCTAGTTTCATTCCAATGTGGTCAGAAAAGATGCTTGATATGATTTCAGTCTTCTTAAATTTATTAAGGCTTGTTTTGTGGCCTAACATGTGGTCTATCCTGGAGAATGTTTCTTGTGCACTTGAAAAGAATGTGTATTCTGCTGCTGTCGGATACAATATTCTATAAATATCTGTTAAATCCATCTAAACTAACATGTAGTTGAAGTCCAATTTCCTTAATGATTTTCTGTCTGGATGATCTATCCATCGTTGAAAGTGAGGTATTGAACTTCCCTGTTATTGTATTGCTGTCAATATCTTTATTCAGGTCTGTTAATATTTGTTTTATATATTTCATTCCTATATTGGGTGCATATACATTTACAAATGCTATATCACTGTAAATATGGATTGACCACTTTATCATTATATAATGACCTCCTTTGTCTCTTATTTCCAATCTTTATCTTACAGTCTATTTTGTATGACATAAGTCTAGCAACCTCTGCTTTCTTCTCTTTCCATGGCATGGAATATATTTTTCTATCCCTTCACTTTCACTGTTTTATGTTCTTACATCTGAAATGAGTCTCTTATAGCCAGCATAAAGTTGGGTCTTCTATTTTTTATCCCAGCCTTTTGACAGGAGAATTCCATGTCTTTTGATTGGAGAATTTAGTCCATTTGTATTTGAAGTGATTATTGATAAGTATACAGTTACTACAGCCATTTTGTTAATTATTTTCGGGTTGCTTTATAAGTCTTTTGTTTCTTCCTTCTTCCCTTTTTTGCTTTGTGATTTGATGGCATTCTGTAATGATATGCTTATATTTCTTTCTTTTTTTGTTCATATATTATAGATTTCAGTTTTGTCATGAGACTTATACAAAACACCTTATATTTTAAGGTATAACAGTATATTTTAAGCTGATAACAATTTAAGTTCAGATACATACTAAAGCTCTTTAATTTTACTCTCCCCTCACCCCATGTGAAATGGGAATAATGCTAAGTATTTATTATAATTAATGCTAAGTAATTTCAAATAACATGACACTGACATAATTTTAAATGAACACAAATAACTTACTACTTTAACTTTCTGAATAAAAATTCTTACCTTGCAATAACAGATTCAATGGGCATGATATCAGGCACATAGTGGGCCATAGGAGAAACAAAGTGTCCATCTAGTATCTTACAGTCGGACTGTTCTTCAATCTAAAAGAAAAGCAAAACCAAGATGAATACATGTAGACTAAGATATCTTGATCTGTCACAGATGTTTTTCTATAACACCATTCATTTAAAAACTTGTTTTCAGTGCCTACTATGTATCCTTTTTGCCAACTCTGCTATCTAAAGACACTGCTCCCATTCATACACATTCCTTTTCCTTCTATATCCTTTAATACAGTGTAGTTGGGGAATGTAAACTATAAATAAACCTCATTTATAGAATGATATATAGTAACTCCAAATAAAATACAAGCTACAAGAATTTAACAATAAAAAACATAGGAACAATTTACAAATTGTAAAAAACAATTTACTGCAATCAAATAAGGGTTGATATCAAATATGTTAGAATGGCTCATTTTCAAGCAATCTATTGATATAAAAAATCATGTCAACACATTAAATAAGGAGAAATGTGACATTTACGTATATAGCAAAGGCATGTGTTAATATTCAATACCCAAACTTTTTTCCCCCTTCAAATAGTTTTTTTTTTTTAATAAAAAATCTATTTGGCCAATAGTCAAAATTAAATTAGCAGTAAAGCTCAACATATTTTCATTAAAATCTTTTAGAAACAAAAAACCATGTCTGTCGATGCTATATACATCCAGCTTTACTTAAAACACAAATTCTAACCAGTTGTGTTAATATCATTTATTAAATAATCCACATTTTTTGCAAATGATATAAAATGCTACTTTATTACGAAGTAAATTTTCATAATTTGGACATATTATTTTTAATCCTTTATTAGGTTTTATTAGCCTATCTTTTATTTTTGAATCAATATCATGCTGTGTTGATTACGCTGCAGCTTCAGAAGACCCACTGATACATGACTGAACTAGTTTTTACTTATCACTCTTCCTTTTCAGGTATTCCTGATCTGATTGTACTGTCATGGTTTTCCCAAAATAATCTTAGGATACTTTTATGGACCTAAGTCACTCCTTCCTTCCTTCCTTCCTTCCTTCCTGCCTGCCTGCCTGCCTGCCTTCCTGCCTTCCTTCCTGCCTTCCTGCCTGCCTTCCTGTCTGCCTGCCTGCCTGCCTGCCTGCCTTCCTGCCTGCCTTCCTGCCTTCTTGCCTGCCTGCCTGCCTGCCTGCCTTCCTTCCTGCCTTCCTTCCTTCCTTCCTGCCTTCCTTCCTTCCTGCCTTCCTCCCTTCCTCCCTCCCTCCCTCCCTCTAAGCAAGCAGTAGTATTCTTAGAAAAGGATAGTACACCCCCTCAAGATAGCAAGAGCAGACAGGCTCGGATAAGAGCAGCTGCCTGGACCTAAATTCTAAATTAAATATTTTAATTGGGATTGCACTACATCTACTGAACATGGTAGGGTGACCTAACAGGTGGATATTAAGAAAGTTTTAATCCAAGAAGTCTTCCAATTTTAGTAATCTTTGTGCCTGCTAGTATAGTTTTAAAGTTTTCTTATGTATTTTAGAAGAATAAGCTGTTTGATAAAGGAGGCAGCAAAAACTAATGTGAAAGGGAAAAATAATTCAACAGATAGTGTTGTGATAATGGGCAATTTGGTAAGGGAAAAAAACAATTTTGGAGCCATACACAAACAATATAGATTTAAAAATTAAGGAAGCTACAATTTAACAACAAAAAGACAAATAACCCAATTAAAAACAGGCAAGTTATTTCATAACTATTTCTCCAAAGATTATATACAAATGGCCAATAAGCCCATAAAAATGCTCAATATCATAGTCATTAGGGAAAAGCATATCAAAATCACAGTAACATGCATTTCACACCCACTAGGATGGCTAAGAGAAGTACAAATATTAATGAGAACATAGAGAAATTGGAATCTTTGTACAATGCCAGTGGGTATGTAAATAGTATACTTTGGAGAACAACTGCAGTTTGTCAAAAACTTAAACATAGCATAACCATATCAGCTAGCAATTTCACTCCTAGATATATACCCAAAATAAACGAAAACATATCCACAAAAATACTTGTACGTCAATGTTCACAGCATATTATTCACAATAGTAAATAAAAGTAGAAAAAACTCAAATGTCCATCAACTGATTAATGGATAAATGTCATATATCCATACATTTTTTAGCCATAAATAATAAAGTACTGTACATGCTACAACATGGATGAACCCTGAATATTTGCTAAATGAAATAAGGCAGACACAAAAGGCCATGATTCCATTTATATGAAATGTCCAGAGTAGGTGACTCCATAGAGAAAGCTGATTAGTGACTGCCAGCAGATGGGAGGCTGGGGAAATGAGATGTGACAGCTAATGGGTACAGGGTTTCTTTTTGGAGCCATAAAAATGTTCTGGAACGAGACAGTGATAGTGGTGATAGTTGCACTTTTGGGGAATATAATAATAAAAAAAACAAAGCTGAACTGTATACTTTTAAGGCATTAACTTTATGGTATGTGAATTATATTTTGATTTTTAAAAACCGAGAGAGAGAGAGAGAGAGAGAGAGAGAGAGAGAGGTGGTTGGGAGAGGAAGAAAATCTGTAAGAATGCATTCCAAAATCTTAACACTAACACTTTCTGGGGAGGAAACAGATATAGGTGGTGGAAAGTGGCAGAAATTAAATTTTGATTTTTACTTGGTATGCTTTAAATTTGTCTATTTTAAAGCCTATGATTTTTTTACAGAAAAAATATAGAGAAAATATAAATAGTACAATTTGAGGGCTTAGCAGTGGAACACTTTTCAAAAATGAAATCTTCTAAAGATAGTCAATATATAAAAGAGATGAAAGTAGAGATACTTTGGTTGAGGGCAGTGAGGAAACTCACGCATTTGTACCCCCTCTCCCAAAATATCCCTAGTATCCAATTATATACACCTAGAAATATTTTACAGAAAAACATGTGGTTGCTTAAAAACAAACCTATTTCAAATACAGTAAGTTCACACTTAATGTTGACAATAGGTTCTGTGACTTTAAGCGAAAGTTTATATAAGGAAACCCTTTTTACCACAGGCTAATTGATATAAACAAGAGTTAAGTTCCCACCACAGCTCATCAATGTTATAATGAAATGACATTATTTGAGGACCTGCTATATGTTTTCTCATCTTCTCTAATTTTATAGCATTTTCTTTCTACCATTCTCTCAGCAATTAACCATATCCTATACCATTTCCCTGATGTTATTTTGCTAATAACTAAGTTGTTTTGCTAATGACTTCTCATGTACTTACTCTCCAACTGGAGTACTTCCCTGTGTTACTTACAATTCATCCGAAATGTTGAACAATATAACCCTCCTAAACCTAAAGATGAAAAAATGAGGCTCAAAAAGATCCAGCCTAGATATTTTCTTATTTTTACTCAAGTACTAAATATATGCTACCAAATATACATGAATATTATTATAATAAACATGCAGTTGAGATACACATAGCATTTAAAATTAATAAATGAAAAGTCTATACTATATCCATGTTTTAGTGTTTACTGTTATTGTACTCTTAAAATTCAACCTTTTCTTGCCACGTATTTATGTCAAAACAGAATTTCATCTGAATACCTTATCGATGTATACTGGATAATCACTTGAAACCATTTTCTGACATCTTTCTCGATTTCCAATCATCTTTCTAAATTCAAAGAGTCTGTTATGGTAAGGGGGGAAAAAAAGGAAAAAAATCAGTATAACTATTATATTGAGACTAATGAATAGTGATTAAAAATTAGCAAGTCCAGTTCATAAGACATGTTAAAATTTAATTGTAATCACCAGCAAAAAAGATTATAGGCTGTTGGTTTTTTGCAAGCTGGACATTTTATCTCAAAAATATTTAGAAATATCACTGTTTAGAAAGTAATTAACATATACAGGACTCAAAATTAAAAGCACAGATCTTGAAAATTTATTTTCTTAAGTCCAGATATTCCTATGGCCTATAGTATGTCTTGGTTTTACAATCATTACAAATTCAATTTACCCAAGAACGCTCAGTCCCTGGAAACTCTAATCAACTTAAACATTATTAAAGATAAAAATCTAGTTTATACTTTTGGAGAGCTCTTTATTTTTACAACTGAATTACTTTCAAAATAGTTCAAATTGTGTTGGCCAAGTGGCTCAGCTGGTTAAGAGTCAGCTTAAGAGCGTGAGCTCTGAGCAACAGGGCCGGATGGTTTGATTCCCACATGGGCCAGTGATGCTGTGACCGAGCTGAGCTGCCGCTGGGCAGCCAACAGGCGGTAGGATGGCGAAGCTGGTGAGAGCACATGCTCCTAACAAGACTGCTTGTTCGATGGTGGGCTACGCCCGCCCGCATCTAAGACTGAACTCAGCACCTTGAGCTGAGCTGCCACCTGCATGGCTCAGTGGATAGAGCGTGCACTCTTTAACAACAAGGCTGCTGGTTCGACTCCCGTATGGGATGGTGGCTACGCCCACCTCCAACTAAGATTGAACACAGCACCTTGAGCTCAAAGGCCACGAGCTGCTGACGGGAAGCCAGATGGTGACTGGCGTCCTCCACAACTAAAACTGAAGAACAACTTGGCTGGTCCCCCTCCCCAATTCCCCGACACTGTTCCCCTCCCTGAATTCCCCAATTAAAAATAATAATAATAAAATATTAGTTCAAATTATAAGAGTTAAAACAAGAGAAATAATTAAAACGAGAAAGAAAATATAATTTCATTTTTATATAGTTAAATGCTTAATTTTTCAATCACTTTATATTTATAGTAGAAGGTTTTAAAATTGAAATAAAATTTTAAATGTCTACTAAAATAACAAAATCAGAACAAGCATTTAGGAAAAAAACGCTTACCTTTTGAGATCCTCTGGCCTTCCCCATCCTCTGATAAAAAGCTTTGTGAGGAGAAGTCTCCGGTATAGAACATCTAACTTGCTCACACCCATTAGTAGTAAACCAACATCTATGAAACAAAATTTTAAATTACTTTAAAATATTTTATTTTAGGCAGGTCAATTTTCTAACCATCTCGTTAAATATCAGGTAAAAATTTTAAATTGATCTACTCTCTTAGCAACTTTCAAATATACAATATTGTTAACTAGAGTTACCATGCTGTATATTACATCCCCAGCACTTATTTATCTTACAGATCTTAAAAGTACTCATCACAAGAAAAAAAAATTGTAACTATGTGAGGTGATGGATGTTAACTAAACTTACTGTGGTAATCATTTCACAATATATACATATATCAAATCTTTTGTTTTTTTTAAAGATTTTTTATTGGGGAATTGGGGGATGGGAACAGCGCTGGGGAATTGGGGGAAGGGGAACAGACAAGTTGCTGTCCTTTTGTTCTTCAATCTAGTTGTGGAGGACGTTGCTTCACTGGCCCAAGTTGGTATCATCATTGCGCTCTTCCCGGGTGAGGCAGATAAGTCGCAGGCTTCTGGACAGCAGCTCACGCTGGCTGCTAGCTACACACGGTAGCCCATGACAACCCACTGCAGCAGGGGCTGCACCCTACGCCAACGCCAGGGACTCATGGCAGCCGAGCTCCAGGTTGAGCTGTTGTTCAGCATCTTAGCTGTGGAGGGCAGTGTCACTGGCTCTTATATGTGGGATCTGAACCAGGGCCCTCTGGCGTCCCAAGCCAGCTCTTAACCAATGTGCCACTCGGCCAGCCCTCAAATCATTATATTATACACTTAAACTAACGCAATGTTATATATCAATCATCTCTCAGAGAAACTGGGAAGAAAAATTAAATAGTGAGATTAAATTATAACCTTGAATTTACTCTTTTGGGAATAAGATACAAGACCTGGAATAAAAAAACACTGGGATGAAAGAAAAAGATTGAAGAGAGCCTTGAGCTTCACTAAGCTATGAATTCTACTAGGGGAGAATCTTCCCATGCTCAGCACAGTGACTGACAGAAAGCACTCAGTATTTGCTGGATAACTATATTAGTGGCTAAAAGAAAAACAAACATACATAGTAGTGCCTAATACTTTGTATAATACTGTACTATTTTCCAGACACCATTCTGAAAACTACACACACACATACACATTCTCATTTAAACCTCCCAAAAGCTGTATGAAGGAGCTATCTATTACCCAAAGATGAGGAAACTGAGGCACAGAGAGAGTAGATAATTTACGTAAGGTCACACAGAAAGTGGGTTTCAGAACTAAGACTGAATCCCAGGCATACAGCTCAAGATCTAACTACCATACTACACTGTCTACTACTGTGCATGAAAGATAATAATTAATGCCACTACTTGTGTACCACTTATCTTTCCCAAATATTTCTAAGGTCTTTTTTTTCCCCAAAACACTACCTCTGTCTTTTCAAATTGAATATTGTAGTTTGATTTGTGGGGAAAACCTGATTCAGCTTCAGGGTTTATTCTTAGAAAATGTGAAATGGAAATATGTATTTCCATCAATGAGTCTTAATAATACTTATCTATTACTTTGAATATGTTTTTTGGAACCAGCACTTACGTCATATTTTTGCTCTGATGTGTAACAAACTACAAGGTTAAATTAATGCTCTTCTTTGTTTGCATAGGTGTATAATCTAACCCCATCGCTTGGGCTGGCACGTCACTGTTTTTATGACGGGACCAGCAAAACCACATTATTCAGACTGCCTCTCACAAATATCAGGACCAAGAACAAATGTTTACTAGAAATGTACTTGTTAGGCAATACACTCTAACCAGAGTAAGGTATTTAGTGTTTTTTAAATACCACCCACCTCTTTTTCCCAATTTCCATGTTACTCAATCTTACTCTTGATAAAATTTGGTTTTGGCCTAATAATGCTAGGGGCAAAAAGCCATAAAACACATCCAGCTTATTATATTATACTACTTATATCTACCATTATATATAAACTGGTACTCTGATTACTAGACTCCTATGAATTATCATGAAGCAGCTCACCATAGCTAAACCATACCTGGTTGGCCTAATAGAAACTTAAGTTTCTGAACTTTGAAGAATGAGTATTGCTTTTTTTCATTCATGCAACAAGTATTAAGTGCTTACTATATGCCAAGCATTATTTTAGGCCCCATGCTACAAGACAATTAGGGCACATTTTTGCTCTCATGGATTTTAGTAAAGGAAAACAAATAATTTAAAAAAAAGCAAGAATAGATGACGTTTTGATGATAATATAATGAGCCAATATGATAAAGACCAGAGGGCTCCTTTGATGTCAAAAGCCTCACTTAAGCAAAGAGGTAACATTTCAACCAAATACCTACATGACAAGAGGAGCAGCCAACTCTTTTAATTGCAAATCTCATTGAAATCACATACATCCTGAAGTCTACTCACCTACTATGTTCCAATGAAACTTGTTAAAAATTATCTAGTCAGTGGGTACAGCATAGGTACAGATAATTTATATTAGCTGCTTCTTTATTTTGTAATTCGGAAATGCTCATTGTAACATTTTCAAATTCAAACAATGCAGAAGTATATATATGTGTGTGTGTGTGTGTGTGTGTGTGTGT